GGAAACGTTATGCTGACGTAATGACATTCCAACAGAAGAACGTTGTTTCTTAACGTTCTCTGAACTATGAGAACATTCCCAATGTCAAACCATCTGGAGAACGTTCCTAGAACATTACCAAAATTGAAATGAAATGTAACCATGTTTGAACTTTTAGGAAACTTTCTGCTAAAGTAATGTAATACCAAGAAAATAAAAAAACAGCTTTTTTGTCAAGTGCCTTAAATGTGCTGAGAATGTTCAAAAGCAAAATTAATCTTAGAACCATAGGATCCTATGGTTCTAACGATGAATTTAGCCTTAAGAAGCTTTTGGGAAACCGGGCCCTGCACCATTCCCAGAAAGTTGCGGAAGGTTGAATGCAAAATAACCATAGCACAACCACGCTCTCCCCCAGTTCTAAGAAACATATGGTTCTCAGAACGTTATGTTCTAGCTGGTAGCTCTCTTGATGGTGAGCACTGAGAGCAAATCAAGCAATTGCCCCCACACATTGCAGTATGGTTCTAGTGTAAAAACATACCTTAGTTACACAATTTAAAAAGGTACATTAATTCTGATGAAGAAAATGTAAGAGTGTGTGAGGATGAGGATTCAGCATGGGAATATAGTATAGTGAGGGCTAAAATGCACAGCACAGGAAGGAGTCTCACCGCAAAGAGTCTCAGCACGTTGGCCACCATGATGGACACGGAGCTGCCGGATGCCCCAATTACTCCCACCACCCTCTCCGGTTTGGGAATAATGGGTGGCTCGCCATTGGAGCAGCGCACGTCCGAGTTATCCTTCTGGATGAGGGCCTGGACGAAAGTGAGTGACTGCTCCAGGGCGTAGGTGTCTCTAGAGCAGGTGTCCAGGATCATGGCCCCCAGGGTGATGTTAGGCAGGAGGTCAGGGTCACTGTTGATCTGATCCAGCGCATACAGCATGGCCTCCATACGGTGGATCCCCTTCTCCCTCTTGATCTCCCCACAGGGCACACCGGCTGGCCCACGGGAGTGCACTGGAAACAGGCCACCCAGGGTGATGTCCCCCTCGATCTTGATGGAGTGTGGTTGTGTGCCCTGCTGAGCCCATGACTCTGGACTTAGACCCAGAAACAGCATCCACAGTAACCTGGGCAATGTTGTTACATGACATCCAAACGGTGGATCAAACTGTGATATCATGATTCTGGCCACCAAAGGTTCCTGTATCCAGCGTTAAAGTACCAGGCTTCTCCCTCTAAATTTGATACCTGTGAACAGTAATGAGGACATGTTGGTATTTGGTTTAAGGTCAGTTACAGCTTTCTTCACATCAATTTTAGACAAACAGTTATTTTACTCACTCAGTGTTAATCATACAAATTGATCTGCAAGTGCTCTTACCATGGCAGCAGAAATTACTACACAGAACAGTGCCTTGCAAAAGTATTCATCCCCCTTGGCGTTTTTTCTATTTTGTTGCATTACAACCTGTAATTTAAATGGACTTTTATTTGGATTTCATGTAATGGACATAAACAAAATAGTCCAAATTGGTGAAGTGAAATCAAAAAAATAACTAGTTTCAAAAAAGTCTAAAAAATAAATAATGGAAAAGTGGTGCATGCATATGTATTCACCCCCTTTGCTATGAAGCCCCTAAATAAGATCTGGTGCAACCAATTACCTTCAGAAGTCACATAATTAGTTAAGTAAAGTACACCTGTGTGCAATCTAAGTGTCACATGATCTCAGTATATATACACACACACACCTGTTCTGAATGGCCCCAGAGTCTGCAACACCACTAAGCAAGGGGCACCACCAAGCAAGCGGCACCATGAAGACCAAGGAGCTCTCCAAACAGGTCAGGGACAAAGTTGTGGAGAAGTACAGATCAGGTTTGGGTTATAAAAAAATATCAGAAACTTTGAACATCCCATGGACCACCATTAAATTCATTATTTAAAAAATGCAAAGAATATGGCACCACAACAAACCTGCCAAGAGAGGGCCGCCTACCAAAACTCACAGACCAGGCAAGAAGCGCATTAATCAGAGCAGCAACAAAGAGTCGAAAGATAACCCTGAAGGAGCTGCAAAGCTCCACAGCGGAGATTGGAGTATCTGTCCATAGGACCACTTTAAGCCGTACACTCCACAGAGATGGACTTTACGGAAGAGTGGCCAGAAAAAAAGCCATTGCATAAAGAAATAAATAAGCAAACACGTTTGGTGTTCGCCAAAAGGCATGTGGGAGACTCCCCAAACATATGGAAGAAGGTACTCTGGTCAGATGAGACTAAAATTGAGCTTTTTGGCCATCAAGGAAAATGCTATGTCTGGCGCAAACCCAACACCTCTCATCACCCCGAGAACACCATCCCCACAGTGAAGCATGGTGGTGGCAGCATCATGCTGTGGGGATGTTTTTCCCATCGGCAGGGACTGGGAAACTGGTCAGAATTGAAGGAATGATGGATGGTGCTAAATACAGGGAAATTATTGAGGGAAACCTGTTTCAGTCTTCCAGAGATTTGAGACTGGGACGGAGGTTCACCTTCCAGCAGGACAATGACCCTAAGCATACTGCTAAAGTAACACATGAGTGGTTTAAGGGGAAACATTTAAATGTCTTGGAATGGCCTAGTCAAAGCCCAGACCTCAATCCAATTGAGAATCTGTGGTATGACTTAAAGATTGCTGTAAACACCAGCGGAACCCATCCAACTTGAAGGAGCTGGAGCAGTTTTGCCTTGAAGAATGGGCAAAAATCCCAGTGGCTAGATGTGCCAAGCTTATAGAGACATACCCCAAGAGACTTGCAGCTGTAATTGCTGCAAAAGGTGGCTCTACAAAGTATTGACTTTGTGGCTCAAGTTCTTTTGTCTTATTTCTTGTTTGTTTCACAATAAAACATATTTTGCATCTTGAAAGTGGTAGGCATGTTGTGTAAATCAAATGATACAAACCCCCAATAAATCCATTTTAATTCCAGGTTGTAAGGCAACAAAATAGGAAAAATGCCAAGGGGGTGAATTCTTTCGCAAGCCACTGTATGTCTTGGCATCAATGGCACATTACCAAACATTATCATTCAAGTGGACAATATAGGACATGCCACTTCAGTTCCTCACCCCAATCTCAAAATGGGTATAAAAATGTGTTTTAAAGTGTGTTTGTGTCCGAGAATATCTACTGCTTCTAGACTTAAACATAGTTCCACTCAAACCCCACAGGAAAGAGAGTCTTCTAAGTAAAGGGTATCTGCATGGAAAAGGTTGGACAAGTAAAACACAGCCAAGAGAGCAGCAAAGAGCATAGTGATAACATCTCATAAATATTGCACAAAAGCTAACATGGACAGTGTTTTATGAATGTTTTTCACGTTCTGTAATACGATTTAGGTTTAATAAATCATAGGGGTGAGAAGTATAATTAAGTGGCATGTTCAAGATACAAATATGAGTTATGTAAGGAACAAGTTATCCTGATTAATTTCATACTGATACGAAGCTAATATAAATATATACAGAAATATTTTTGCTCAGTTTGACTGCCTATCCAGCTTTATTTCCTTCAAATTTCACTGTGTCGGGGGAGATCCAATTAAGTTATAATAGTATAAAAAATTGGTATATGATGTAAATGATTTGGTTTAAGAAGTTTACACAAATGATGCAATGCATTGAAATAGAGATGTGCCTCAGAGATTAAATGTTCAATACACAGTACGGGCAGCAAGGTTAACATTTATATGACACATAATGGAAGAGTAAAATGTGACCTAGGTACTGGTAGGTGAAATCTGAAAAGAGGTCTATGGGTGTAATAAATATAAGAATTGACTGCTTACCTGAACATTCCATTTGGACTAGTCTTGATTTCATCAATCACTCCATCGCTCCCAAACAGATCTATTCCCATATTCAATATGTGATGATATTCAGTGCCGGTTTCTTTGTTGTTTAAGCAAAAAGTTAATCCATTAACATCAGATATTATATGTATTTTCCCAAAAATAACTGGAATGGACTCAAATCCTTCAATAACATAACATTTGTTTTAGTTAGCAAAAAAAGTATAGAACATTTTGGCTTTCGAGGCTTTAGTGTATAGCATCGTCTGGCTCACGGAAAAGTCGAAAAAGCACAATATTACACCACTGAGATTCTACAAATCACTGCCAAATCCCTTAAAAGCTCTCTCCCACTTGCTCTCTGTCTATGTCACTATCACTCTCTCTCTCTGTTGAACCCTCTTCTCTCTCAGTACACTAATGGGCACAGATTGAGATTATCATGCAGCAGTCTGTGAAGAAAGCCCTAGGTGGACTAGCCTTTATATTTGTATGCAGCTGTACTATATGTAGTACCCTCCCCCTTTTATGATGGCACTCCGTCACTTTGCAGGGGAGATTAGAAAGGCAGTGATTTGAGAATACATTCTCATACACACCTGTAGAATATCATGTTCTACCAACTAAAACAGGAAAATGTTCAACTAAAACAATAGTGATTCACAATCACATGCAAATTATAAAGATCCATCTGTTTCTCTGCTGTATAGATGCAATCATTTTCTATAGCATCTCCAGGATCAGTCACATTAATCGGTACTGTTAATTCCTGGCTTAAATTTAAATTTTTGTGATCTGTTTGATACCCATTGGATTTGATCAAATCAAAGATTTTGATGCAACATAGACCTTTCTCACATAATCTTTAATAACGAAATGTAGACCTGATACAGATTCATGACAAAACATAAATCATTATTTATAGTTGCTAGATATGGTGTAAGATTTTAGTCCGTTTTATGTCTGCCTAAACCAGAAAGAAGGCTATACATGCTATGAAGTTATGATGGGGCGGCAGGTAGCTTAGTGGTTAAGAGCGTAGTGCCAGTAACCGAAAGGTCGCTGGTTCCAATCCCCGAGCCGACTAGGTGAAAAATCTGTCGATGTGCCCTTGAGCAAGGCACTTAACCCTAATTGCTCCTGTAAGTCGCTCTGGATAAGAGCGTCAGCTAAATGACTAAAATGTAAAATGTAAAATGATGGGACCACTTCACATGCTGCTTTTCAGTTGTTTGATTTGAATCTCTAAAAAGGCACACTACTGCCACCTAGTGAATTAGATCCATGTTTGAAAAAGACATCACTCTACCATAATTCTGCAGCGGTAAAACTGACAGCACTAAATGTAACTGTTAAGACCTAACATTTTAACAATTTGCATAGCTAGATAGCATTGTGACAATGTCAAAACACACAAATACTTTTTCAAAGATATTAGTTTACTCTAGATAAATTCTACAGGGAAAGAAATGCTTACCACAGTAAGTTACAGTATGTCATAACTGAGATATAAGGCAGCGCTTTAAATTGAAACTAACAAAAAATATTATCAAGAGAGTTAATGTTTTAAAGCAAGAGGCTCAATGTTTGGCTAGTACCCTAAGAACACAGACTTCTCCAAGCCATCCTCTGCTTTGGTGTACTCCAGCTGGGATCTGTAGTACTGGCTGTTGTAGCGAGGGCTGTTGCGGACGTACTCCAGATAGTCAGGGGTTCCTGGACAGATGACATTGTCTGCCAGCAGCACTGTGCCTTTCTGTATGAGACCACACTCCTAGAGAGAGAGGAAAATAGGAAGAGATAGAGTTGGGGGAATGGGAGAAAGAGAGAATGACATGTTTTGTGTTTTGATTGATCATATCGGTGTAGGACTATCAATGATTCCCTATAATCACAGGACGGTCAAATTAGTCATCTTACTTACCTCCAGCAGTTTTGTGTCAGGAAGGTAGCGCTCTTTCCAGTGGTCCAGAAAAACTAAGTCAAATGCGTGGACCCCGAAATGCTCCTTCATCCGAGGGATCCAGTCTCCTGAGGCTCCCTCCACTAGCTGCACCTGGACAACAGTAAAGAGATCTCATCTAAGCTTCTAAGTTACAACTGACCTGTATCTTTTAACATCTACTACCCACCCATATTTACATGAATGTACATCACTTTCATCATCAAATGTAATTATGTTAATCCATACCAATCTTTTTTTACCTTATCTTCCAGTCCTGCCCATTTGATGACTTGACTAGCAATGGCAGCATAATCTGGGTTGAACTCCAAGGTAATGACACAGGCGCCAGGGAGTAATAGGCGGGCTATGCGCACTGTTGAGTAGCCACAATAAGTGCCTAACTCCAAGACAGTGACTGGACTCACTTCATTGACCACCGAGTCCAGAATGGAGCCTGTAATGAACACAGAGTACATAGACACATGCACAAAGATGTGGACATGGTCAAGACCAGGCAGACATGTGGCCTGGGGGGGGATTTAGAGATCTAAGAACACATCCTGTATATACTGCTGCAACATGGGTTAATTCAATTTGACTGCTCTTTCAGCACTCTCCCCTACCTTTTACCTCTATCTATCCAATAAACATACAAAATACTTACAATATACTGTGAGTGTGTGTGAGTGTGTGTATGTATATACACTACCAGTCAAAAGTTTGGACACACCTACCCATTCAAGGGTTTTTCTTTATTTTTACATTGTAGAATAATAGTGAAGACATCAAAACTATGAAATAACACATTTGTATTTATTTATTTTACCTTTATTTAACTAGGCAAGTCAGTTAAGAACTAATTCTTATTTACAATGACGGCCTACACCAGCCAGACCCGGACGACGCTGGGCCAAATTGTGCGCCGCCCTATGGGACTCCCAATCACGGCCGGTTGTGATACAGCCTGGAATCGAACCAGGGGGTCTGTAATGACGCCTCAAGCACTGAGATGCAGTGCCTTAGACCACTGCGCCACTCGGGAGCCCATGTAGTGACCAAAATAGCCACCCTTTGCCTTGATGACAGCTTTGCACACTCTTGGCATTCTCTCAACCAGCTTCATGAGGTAGTCACCTGGAATGCCTTTCAACTAACAGGTGTGCCTTCTTAAAAGTTAATTTGTGGAATTTCTTTCCTTCTTAATGTGTTTGAGCCAATCGGTTGTGTTGTGACAAGGTAGGGGGTCTACAGAAGATAGCCCTATCTGGTAAAATACCAAGTCCATATTATGGCAAGAACAGCTCAAATAAGCAAAGACATGAAGGTCAGTGAATACAGTTTCATCATAGCACTTGATGGTTTTTTGCGCCTGCACTTGAATAAACTTTAAAAGTTCTTGAAATTGACTGACCTTCATGTCTTAAAGTAATCATGAAGCTGGTTGAGATAATGCCAAGAGTGTGCAAAGCTGTCATCAAGGCAAAGGTGGCTATTTGAAGAATCTCAAATATAAAATATATTTTGATTTGTTTAACACTTTTTTGGTTACTACATTATTCCATATGTTATTTCATAATTTTGATGTCTTCACTATTATTCTACAATGTAAAAAATTGTAAAAATAAATAACTACCCTTGAAGGAGTAGGTGTCCAAACTTTTGACTGGTAGTGATTATATATACACAGCTGTGGAAGAAATTAAGAGACCACTGCAAATTTTTCTTAAATCAGCATCTCTACATGTATGACAGCCATTCCATTCCAGTGTCTGTTGAATTCCAACACAGGCACACCTCAGTCTACTGAATTAGGTACTGATTAGGTGATCACATGAACCAAATCTTATTTAACGAGGAAAAGTATAAAAACCACTGCTGTGGTCATCACTATCCTCTTGCAATAGGACCGGCTGGATGGCAAAAACAGTACTAATAGTACCTCAAAAATAACTATTGACCATGCCAAGAGAATTGAAAAGGAATGTTTTGAGTGAGGAAAAGAAGGGGTCAATTCTGGCTTTACTGGCAGAGGGATAAAGTGAGCGTCAGGTTACTTCCATCCTTATAATTTCAAAGACGGCAGTTCATAAGAACAAGGTCAAGCAGCAGACATTGGGGACAACAAAGCTACAGACCGGCAAAGGGCGAAAACGACTCTCTACTGATCGGGATGACCGCCAACTCATTCGAATGTCACTCAACAACCGTAGGATGACATCAAGTGACCTACAAAAAGAATGGCAAACGGCAGCTGGAGTGAAGTACATGGCGAGGACAGTTCGAAACAGGCTCCTAGGGGCAGGGCTGAAGTTGTGCAAAGCTAGAAAAAAGCCCTTCATCAATGAGAAGCAAAGAAGAGCCAGGCTGAGGTTTGCAAAAGACCATAAGGATCGTAGAGGACTGGAGTAAGGTCATCTTCTCTGATGAGTCCAATTTTCAGCTTTGCCAAACACCTGGTCGTCTAATGGTTAGACAGAGACCTGGAGAGGCCTACAAGCCACAGTGTCACGCACCCACTGTGAAATTTGGTGGAGGATCGGTGATGATCTGGGGGTGCTTCAGCAAGGCTGGAATCGGGCAGATTTGTCTTTGTGAAGGACGCATGAATCAAGCCACGTACAAGGTTGTCCTGGAAGAAAACGTGCTTCCTTTTGCTCTGACATTGTTCCCCAACTCTGAGGATTGGTTTTTCCAGCAGGACAATGCGCCATGACACACAGCCAGGTCAATCAAGGTGTGGATGGAGGACCACCAGATCAATCTCCAGACCTGAACCCCATTGAACATTTCTGGAATGTGATCAAGAGGAAGATGGATGGTCACAAGCCATCAAACAAAGCCGAGCTGCTTGAATTTTTGCGCCAGGAGTAGCATAAAGTCACCCAACATCAATGTGAAAGACTGGTGGAGAGCATGCCAAGACGCATGAAAGCTGTGATTGAAAATCAGGGTTATTCCACCAAATATTGATTTCTGAACTCTTCCTAAGTTAAAACATTACTATTGTGTGTTTAAAAATGAACATGAACTTATTTTTTGACAACACTGCATATTTTTTGTTATTTTGACCAGTTGTCATTTTCTGTAAATAAATGCTCTAAATGACAATATTTTTATTTGGAATTTGGGAGAAATGTTGTCAGTAGATTATAGAATAAAACTAAAATGTTATTTTTACCCAAACACATACCTATAAAATAGTAAATCCAGAGAAACTGATAATTTTGCAGTGGTCTCTTAATTTTTTCCGCAGCTGTATACAGTGGGGAGAACAAGTATTTGATACACTGCCGATTTTGTAGGTTTTCCTACTTACAAAGCATGTAGAGGTCTGTCATTTTTATCATAGGTGCACTTCAACTGTGAGAGACGGAATCTAAAATAAAAATCCAGAAAATCACATTGTATGATTTTTAAGTAATTCATTTGCATTTTATTGCATGACATAAGTATTTGATACATCAGAAAAGCAGAACTTAATATTTGGTACAGAAACCTTTGTTTGCAATTACAGAGATCATACGTTTCCTGTAGGTCTTGACCAGGTTTGCACAAACAGCAGCAGGGATTTTGGCCCACTCCTCCATACAGACCTTCTCCAGATCCTTCAGGTTTCGGGGCTGTCGCTGGGCAATACGGACTTTCAGCTCCATCCAAAGATTTTCTATTGGGTCCAGGTCTGGAGACTGGCTAGGCCACTCCAGGACCTTGAGATGCTTCTTACGGAGCCACTCCTTAGTTGCCCTGGCTGTGTGTTTTGGGTCGTTGTCATGCTGGAAGACCCAGCCACGACCCATCTTCAATGCTCTTACTGAGGGAAGGAGGTTGTTGGCCAAGATCTCGCGATACATGGCCCCATCCATCCTCCCCTCAATACGGTGCAGTTGTCCTGTCCCCTTTGCAGAAAAGCATCCCCAAAGAATGTTTCCACCTCCATGCTTCACGGTTGGGATGGTGTTCTTGGGGTTGTACTCATCCTCCTTCTTCCTCCAAACACGGCGAGTGGAGTTTAGACCAAAAAGCTCTATTTTTGTCTCATCAGACCACATGACCTTCTCCCATTCCTCCTCTGGATCATCCAGATGGTCATTGGCAAACTTCAGTTGGGCCTGGACATGCGCTGGCTTGAGCAGGGGGACTTGCTTGCGCTGCAGGATTTTAATCCATGATGGCGTAGTGTGTTACTAATGGTTTTCTTTGAGACTGTGGTCCCAGCTCTCTTCAGGTCATTGACCAGGTCCTGCCGTGTAGTTCGGGCTGATCCCATCACGATAATTGATGCCCAAGAGTTGAGATCTTGCATGGAGCCCCAGGACCGAGGGTGATTGACCGTCATCTTGAACTTCTTCCATTTTCTAATATTTCTAATAATTGGCGCCAACGTTGTTGCCTTCCCACCAGCTTCTTGCCTATTTCCTGTAGCCCATCCCAGCCTTGTGTAGGTCTACAATTTTATCCCTTATGTCCTTACCTAGCTCTCTGTCGTGGCCATTGTGGAATGTTGGAGTCTGTTTGATTGAGTGTGTGGACGGTTCTTTTATACAGGAACGAGTCAAACGGTGCCGTAAATAATAATCAGGAATAAATCTCAGTTGGCTTTTCATAGCCGATCATTAGAGTTTAAAACAGAGCAGGTCTGGACAGGTAGGGGTTCCATAACCGCAGGCAGAAACAGTTTAAACTGAATAGCAGCAAGGCCAGGCGGACTGGGGATAGCAAGGAGTCACCACGGCCGGTAGTCCCGACGTATGGTCCTAGGGCTCAGGTCTCTCAGTTGGCTTTTCATAGCCGATCATTTTGAGTTGAAAACAGCAGGTTTTGGCCATTAGGGTTTGTACCGGATGAATCCATCTGTGCTGGACTAGAACTCCGGCGGTTCGTGGCGTCACGTGGGTCATCTTGCCGGATATGCCTGACGTTGGTCTAGCTCAGCTTTTCGAAGACGAGAATTGATTAGGGGGCTACTTAAATTCATACGGACATGGATAGACGTATATCTTGGTAGTCTGTACCATAACCGTGCTCCCCGACAACATAAGTATTGCAGGGATAATACTACTGGGTTTGAGCGGTCCGGAGACACTGTGGCCCCATCCGAAGAAACCCCCGGACAGGGCCAAACAGGAAGGATATAACCCCACCCACTCCGCCAAAGCACAGCCCCCGCACCACTAGAGGGATATCCCCAACCACCAACTTACAATCCTGAGACAAGGCCGAGTATAGCCCACAGAGGTCTCCACCACAGCACAAACCAAGGGGGGGGGGGGGCGCCAACCCAGACAGGAAGATCACGTCAGTAACTCAACCCACTCAAGTGACGCACCCCTCCCAGGGATGGCATGAAAGAGCACCAGCAGGCCAGTGACTCAGCCCCTGCAACAGGGTTAGAGGCAGAGAACCCCAGTGGAGAGGGGAACCGGCCTGGCAGAGACAGCAAGGGCTGTTCGTTGCTCCAGCCTTTCCGTTCACCTTCACACTCCTGGGCCAGACTACACTCAATCATATGACCTACTGAAGAGATAAGTCTTCAGTAAAGACTTAAAGGTTGAGACCGAGTCTGCGTCTCTCACATGGGTAGGCAGACTGTTCCATAAAAATGGAGATCTATAGGAGAAAGCCCTGCCTCCCGCTGTTTGCTTAGAAATTCTAGGGACAATTAGGAGGCCTGCGTCTTGTGACCGTAGCGTACGTATTGGTATGTACGGCAGGACCAACTCGGAAAGATAGGTAGGAGCAAGCCCATGTAACGCTTTATAGGTTAACAGTAAAACCTTGAAATCAGCCCTTGCCTTAACAGGAAGCCAGTGTAGGGAAGCTAGCACTGGAGTAATATGATCAAATTTCTTGGTTCTAGTCAGGATTCTAGCAGCCGTATTTAGCACTAACTGAAGTTTATTTAGTGCTTTATCCGGGTAGCCGGAAAATAGAGCATTGCAGTAGTCTAATCTAGAAGTAACAAATGCATGGATTAATTTTTCTGCATCATTTTTGGACAGAAAATTTCTGATTTTTGCAATGTTACGTAGATGGAAAAAAGCTGTCCTTGAAACAGTCTTGATATGTTCGTCAAAAGAGAGATCAGGGTCAAGAGTAACGCCTAGGTCCTTCACAGTTTTATTTGAGACGACTTTACAACCATCAAGATGAATTGTCAGATTTAACAGAAGATCTCTTTGTTTCTTGGGACCTAGGAACAAGCATCTCTGTTTTGTCCGAGTTTAAAAGTAAAAAGTTTTCAGCCATCCACTTCCTTATGTCTGAAACACAGGCTTCTAGCGAGGGCAATTTTGGGGCTTCACCATGCTTCATTGAAATGTACAGCTGTGTGTCATCCGCATAGCAGTGAAAGTTAACATTATGTTTTCGAATAACATCCCCAAGAGGTAAAATATATAGTGAAAACAATAGTGGTCCTAAAACGGAACCTTGAGGAACACCGAAATGTACAGTTGATTTGTCGGAGGACAGACCATTCACAGAGACAAACTGATATCTTTCCGACAGGTAGGATCTAAACCAGGCCAGAACTTGTCCGTGTAGACCAATTTGGGTTTCCAGTCTCTCCAAAAGAATGTGGTGATCGATGGTGTCAAAGGCAGCACTAAGGTCTAGTAGCACGAGGACAGATGCAGAGCCTCGGTCTGACGCCATTAAAAGGTCATTTACCACCTTCACAAGTGCAGTCTCAGTGCTATGATGGGGTCTAAAACCAGACTGAAGCATTTCGTATACATTGTTTGTCTTCAGAAAGGCAGTGAGTTGCTGCGCAACAGCTTTTTCTAAAATTTTTGAGAGGAATGGAAGATTCGATATTGGCCGATAGTTTTTTATATTTTCCGGGTCAAGGTTTGGCTTTTTCAAGAGAGGCTTTATCACTGCCACTTTTAGTGAGTTTGGTACACATCCGGTGGATAGAGAGCTGTTTATTATGTTCAACATAGGAGGGCCAAGCACAGGAAGCAGCTCCTTCAGCAGTTTAGTAGGAATAGGATCCAGTATGCAGCTTGAAGGTTTAGAGGCCATGATTATTTTCATCATTGTGTCAAGAGATATAGTACTAAAACACTTAAGTGTCTCTCCCGATCCCAGGCCCTCGCAGAGCTGTGCAGATCCAGGACAGCTAAGCCCTGGAGGAATACGCAGATTCAAATAATAATAATTGCGCCAACAGTTGTTGCCTTCCCACCAAGCTGCTTGCCTATTGTCCTGTAGCCCATCCCAGCCTTGTGTAGGTCTACAATTTTATCCCTGATGTCCTTACATAGCTCTCTGGTCTTGGCCATTGTGGAGAGGTTGGAGTCTGTTTGATTGAGTGTGTGGACAGGTGTCTTTTATACAGGTAACGAGTTCAAACAGGTGCAGTTAATACAGGTAATGAGTAGAGAACAGGAGGGCTTCTTAAAGAAAAACTAATAGGTCTGTGAGACCCGGAATTCTTACTGGTTGGTAGGTGATCAAATACTTATGTCATGCAATAAAATGCAAATTAATTACTTAAAAATCATACAATGTGATTTTCTGGATTTTTGTTTTAGATTCCGTCTCTCACAGTTGAAGTGTACCTATGATAAAAATTACAGACCTCTACATGCTTTGTAAGTAGGAAAACCTGCAAAATCGGCAGTGTATCAAATACTTGTTCTCCCCAAGGATGTCAGGGACAAGATTGTAGACCTACACAAGGCTGGAATGGGCTACAAGACCATCGCCAAGCAGCTTGGTGAGAAGGTGACAACAGTTGGTGCGATTATTCGCAAATGGAAGAAACACAAAATAACTGTCAGTCTCCCTCGGCCTGGGGCTCCATGCAAGATCTCACCTCGTGGAGTTGCAATGATCATGAGAACGGTGAGGAATCAGCCCAGAACTACACAGGAGGATCTTGTCAATGATCTCAAGGCAGCTGGGACCATAGTCACCAAGAAAACAATTGGTAACACACTACGCCGTGAAGGACTGAAATCCTGCAGCGCCCGCAAGGTCCCCCTGCTCAAGAAAGCACATATACAGGGCCGTCTGAAGTTTGCCAATGAACATCTGAATGATTCAGAGGAGAACTGGGTGAAAGTGTTGTGGTCAGATGAGACCAAAATCGAGCTCTTTGGCATCAACTCAACTCGCCGTGTTTGGAGGAGGAGAAATGCTGCCTATGACCCCAAGAACACCATCCCCACCGTCAAACATGGAGGTGGAAACATTATGCTTTGGGGGTGTTTTTCTGCTAAGGGGACATGTCAAATTCACCGCATCAAAGGGACGATGGACGGGGCCACGTACCATCAAATCTTGGGTGAGAACCTCCTTCCCTCAGCCAGGGCATTGAAAATGGGTCGTGGATGGGTTTTCCAGCATGACAATGACCCAAAACACACAGCCATGGCAACAAAGGAGTGGCTCAAGAAGAAGCACATTAAGGTCCTGGAGTGGCCTAGCCAGTCTCCAGACCTTAATCCCATAGAAAATATGTGGAGGGAGCTGAAGGTTCGAGTTGCCAAACGTCAGCCTCGAAACCTTAATGACTTGGAGAAGATCTGCAAAGAGGAGTGGGACAAAATCCCTCCTGAGATGTGTGCAAACCTGGTGGCCAACTACAAGAAACGTCTGACCTCTGTGATTGCCAACAAGGGTTTTGCCCTTGTACTAAGTCATGTTTTGCAGAGGGGTCAAATACTTATTTCCCTCATTAAAATGCAAATCAATTTATAACATTTTTGACATGCGTTTTTCTGGATTTTTGTTGTTGTTATTCTGTCTCTCACTGTTCAAATAAACCTACCATTAAAATTATAGACTGATAATTTCTTTGTCAGTGGGCAAACGTACAAAATCAGCAGGGGATCAAATACTTTTTTCCCCTCACTGTATTACCATTATTAATAACCCATTCAAAGCACATGTAGAGTACCTTTCTCATCCCCCACATTCATGGCCCATTCTCTATGTCTGCAGAAGTGGTCGATGGCTGTGATCACACTCTGGGGGTCTCCTACAGTGGCTTCCCTCTGCACTGCCTTCAGAAGACGCTAGATATTTCAGAGGAGAAATTACAGATGGTTTTGTACCTACGATGAGGCCTACATTAAGTTTAGTATTTACTATTTTATTAGGATCCCCATTAGCTGCTGCCAAGGCAGCTGCTACTCTTCCTGGCGTCCAAACAGGAATAAAACAACACATCACACAATACATTGTACACTATACACATTTACACTGCTCCACCATAACAAATGTACAATATAAAATGTACAATATTACAACAACACAATATCACAAATACAATGTGTGGGTGTGTGCATGCATGCATGCATGCATGCATGCATCTCTTCACAGTCCGCGTTGTTTTATCGTTTTTAAAAAATCTGATTTTACTGCTAGCTTCAGTAACCTGATGTGGAAGAGAGTGCCATGTAGTCATGGCTCTATGTAGTACTGTGTGCTTCACAGCCTCTGTTCTGGACTTACGGACTGTGAAGAGAACCCTGGTGGCATGTCTTATGGGGCATTTATGGGTGTCTGAGCTGTTTGTTAGCGGTTTGAACAGACAGTTGGGTGCTTTCAACACGTCAATACTTCTGACAAAGACAAGCAGTGATGCAGTCAATCTCTCGTCTACTTTGAGCCAGGAGAGATTGACATGCATGTTCTTGATATTAGCCGTGCTGCTCTGTTCTGGACCAACTGTAATTTTCCTATGTCCTTCTTTGCAGAACTACAAGAAACGTCTGACCTCTGATTGCCAACAAGGGTTTTGCCACCAAGTACTAAGTCATGTTTTGCAGAGGGGTCAAATACTTATTTCCCTCATTAAAATGCAAATCAATTTAGAATATTTTTGACATGCGTTTTTCTGGATTTTGTTGTTGTTATTCTGTCTCTCACTGTTCAAATAAACCTACCATTAAAATTATAGACTGATCATGTCTTTGTCAGTGGGCAAACGTACAAAATCAGCAGGGGATCAAATACTTTTTTCCCCTCACTGACTGTATGTATATATATATATATATATATATATAGTGCTATGAAAAAGTATTTGCCCCCTTTCTAATTCTCTATGTTTGCATATTTGTGATACTGAATGTTAGCAGATCTTCAACCAAAACCTAATATTAGATAAAGGGAAAATAAGTGAACAAATAACAACAATTACATATTTATTTTATTTATTTCATAAACAAATTTATGCAACACCCAATTCCCCTGTGTGAAAAAGTAATTGCCCCCTTACACTCAATAACTGGTTGTGCCACCTTTAGCTGCAATGACTAACTAAATGCTTCCTGTAGTTGTTGATCAGTCTCACGTCGCTGTGGAGGAATTTTGACCCACTCTTCCATGCAGAACTGCTTTAACTCAGTGACGTGTGGGTTTTCAAGCATGAACTGCTCATTTCAAGTCCTGCCACAACATCTCAATTGGGATTAGGTCTGGACTCTGACTAGGCCATTCCAAAATGTCCAATTTGTTGCTTTTTAGCAATTTTCATGTAGACTTGATTGTGTGTTTTGGATCATTGTCTTGCTGCATGACCCAGCTGCGCTTCAGCTTCAGCTCACAGACGGATGGTCTGACATTCTCCTGTAGAATTCTCTGATAGAGCAGAATTCATGGTTCCTTCTATTAAGGCAAGTCGTCCAGGTCCTGAGGCAGCAAAGCATCCCCAAACCATCACACCACCACCACCACTATGCTTGACCTTTGGTATGATGTTCTTACTGTGGAATGCAGAGTTTGGTTTTCGCCAGGCATAATGGGACCCATCTCGTCCAAATATGGTCTCACAAGGGGTCTGAGGATCTCATCTCGGTACCTAATGGCAGTCAGGCTACCTCTGGCGAGCACATGGAGGGCTGTGCGGCCCCCCAAAGAAATGCCACCCCACACCATGACTGACCCACCGCCAAACCGGTCATGCTGGAGGATGTTGCAGGCAGCAGAACGTTCTCCACAGTGTCTCCAGACTCTGTCACGTCTGTCACATGTGCTCAGTGTGAAGAGCACAGGGCGCCAGTGGCGAATTTGCCAATCTTGGTGTTCTCTGGCAAATGCCAAACGTCCTGCACGGTGTTGGGCTGTAAGCACAACCCCCACCTGTGGACGTCGGGCCCTCATACCACCCTCATGGAGTCTGTTTCTGACCGTTTGAGCAGACACATGCACATTTGTGGCCTGCTGGAGGTCATTTTGCAGGGCTCTGGCAGTGCTCCTCCTGCTCCTCCTTGCACAAAGGCGGAGGTAGCAGTCCTGCTGCTGGGTTGTTGCCCTCCTACGGCCTCCTCCACATCTCCTGATGTACTGGCCTGTCTCCTGGTAGCGCCTCCATGCTCTGGACACTACGCTGACAGACACAGCAAACCTTCTTGCCACAGCTCGCATTGATGTGCCATCCTGGATGAGCTGCACTACCTGAGCCACTTGTGTGGGTTGTAGACTCCGTCTCATGCTACCACTAGAGTGAAAGCACCGCCAGCATTCAAAAGCGACCAAAACATCAGCCAGGAAGCATAGGAACTGAGAAGTGGTCTGTTGTCACCACCTGCAGAACCACTCCTTTATTGGGGGTGTCTTGCTAATTGCCTATAATTTCCACCTGTTGTCTATTCCATTTGCACAACAGCATGTGAAATGTATTGTCAATCAGTGTTGCTTCATAACTGGACTGTTTGATTTCACAGAAGTGTGATTGACTTGGAGTTACATTGTGTTGTTTAAGTGTTCCCTTTATTTTTTTGAGCAGTATATATATATATATATATATATATATATATGATTACATTAAAGGGATGACACACACTGTCATTTCACTCTGAAACGCTCAAAGGGAAACACTGTCATAATACCTTTCATGATAGGTCTGGAAGAATCACAATACCAACATACTATAATAACAATGGTGAACACCAAAGACTTAACTATAAATCTGTTTAGAGAGCTCACTTGAGGACGTGAAGTCCGGGTCAAGGTGTCCAGTGCGCGCTCCACGATGACATCATGCCACAGTAGTGCCAGTCCTCCATGATACTGCACAGCTGTGGGGATCACCCAGCGGTAAAGAACAAAGAGGACAGCTGCTCCCACGATCAAACCAGAAAGAAGGCTCAGCAACATCCTAGGACACAGAGATGGTGGTTATACAAATGAATTCACTGTAAAATAAACTTTCTAGTTAAGTTATGAAGACGGATAAACAAATAAGTAACCATAGAAACACTGTACCCATTTAAAAATATTTTGTAATACAGTATGTCCTCTTATTAACAAGAAATCTGTGTGATCATAATGAAATGAATACTTATGGAAATCAATGCCCACGTCCATCAGCTCTTGTATCTCTCCTTTCATTCCTCCCTTTGTACTAGGCTAATGAAATGGGTATTTACTATGCAGCAGATGACACTCAAACATATCCTCCTCTCATTATCATTCAACCACTGTTGTCATATCCACTCATTACTCTCCAGCACTCTCACCGTCTCTCATCAAGGGGAAATGGATTTCATGATTGCCACTTTATATTAATATTATCAACAAATACATTAATGTGTCGATGTGTTACAAAATAATACTAACTAAATCACACTGGACAATGTGACAAAGTAACAACAAATATATCAAGTGTCTATGCATGAAGAAAAGACAGTCAACAACCTAGAGCTCATATTGAAAATCCGAACCACCTCTGAAACATGGTGGTTGAGTTGAGAAAAGTGCAAAAAGGAATAAGAACTAAGCCTAAATCCACTACAAAACAAATGATTTTCTGTTTTATGGAAAAACAGAAAGAGTGCATGGGGGGGGGGAGGGGGTGGACTCTTGAACCTTTCAGAGAATAGAACTCTTGTCTATAAGACCAGGAGAGGCTGAACGGAGGTAATGCCTAGCATTGGGCAAAATGGGTCAAGCTGTGAGACAAAACCCATGGCACTGGGGCTGTGACCATCTTTACTTTGGCTTTCTTACACATGTTCTGTAGCTACATACATAAAAGCTTCTGGAAATTCAGTCAGGCGCTTTGAGAGAGTGCCTTAATTTGATGGCAAATATACTGTAAATTGTTTGATGAAGCGGATATTCCAGTGGGCATTACACACCCCTCAAGGTGCTTGGTGACTAAACTGAAAATGTATAAAGACAAAATATTAAAATCAGATTATACTAAAATGATTACAAACTGCGGTGTACAGAGAGGGAGCTCAATGAAACAACTCTGAAGATAACTCCAGGACATCATGAGGTGAAGAGAGGCATGCGAATCAAATGATATAAAAGACATGCCACACATATTTAGCCCAATCACCTCTGATGTAATTATGGCATCTGAACAGTTCCATTGAAATCTACACAATTCAGTCAGTCAGAAACTTCAGAATGCTCTGCAACATCTTAAGCTTTTTAAAGGGAAGACAACTCACTGCACTGTTATCATAAAACCACAGTTGAAACCAACAATGTAAGCATGCAAAAAGTAGTAGCTATTTACCATACTATTTCAGTGTGCAAATATAGATTAAAGACATGTCAATGGCATAATAACATGGCTTTACTTACATCTGAAGCTTGTCAGCCTCCAATCAGGGTAGAGATATTGTTCCTTTTCTTCACTCACACTTCTCCTTCTTGATGCCACCTCTCTCGCCATAAAACTGTTTCACACCTTCCAGCACAGTTCGTCTCACACACCAGCGCACGCACATTTTCATGAGACTAACCCCTCCCTACTTACCAACCCTCCCCCTCTTTCCTCTGCTGAATTATAGCTAACCCTTAGTGTGAACCCACTGAGCACAGACATCAATTCAATGTCTATTCCACATTCGTTCAACATAATTTCATTTAAATTATGTGAAAACGTTGAATCAACCATTGTGTGCCCAGTGGGATGTGGCTGTGGAGGTCTCACTAGAGAAAGCCCACTTTCAGTCATCAACACATACTCAAAGCACACTCAGACATAAGTTAGATCACAAGGGATGACACAGAAGGAAGCAGTGAAAAGAGGGGAGGTATGGCTTACCTTGCATGGACTGGGTGCCCGGGCTGCAGTTTTGAACCCTACTCAACAGTATACTAATACCCTTTGAAGCCACTCCTTCTCTGTCATTCCATGAGGTCTCATGACAGGAGTCCAGTGAATCAGAGTATATGAATTCATACATTAATTGGCTAAATCAACACAATGTCTAATTCTAACCCGATTTATATTAAGAAAAGTGGTAGATAATGAAAGCCTTCTATAAACAAATAACATTTATTCAATGAAAGTCAAAAACAAAAGTAAAGCCTTCCCAGTGTCCTTTTGAAAAGGCAGTATTCCAGTAAATCTTGCCTTCTTTATGATTTTGGTCATTGATGTGTTTAAATTTGAATAATCTGAACACAGGCCATCACATCAGAAATAATCTGGAATATCAAATTAATATCTAAAGAGAGCTGTAAAATTCAACAGTGACATTTTTACATAAACTGGTTAAAACTTATGAGGGGCATTAATTTAGCATGTACAAAGATAAATCAGGATAGCATCTTGTTGACAAAACAGCACTATGGATTTGTTTCATCATCATGTCATCTCTCCACATCAAACGCTTCAAATCACCAGAAAAAAATTGAGTAATAGTTGATTGCTCTCCCAGAGCAAACTGAAAAATAGCACTTGCAGAAAATCAGCAGAAAAAAATAACACTTGCTGAATATCAACCGTGACCCACAAACCCACTTAAATGGCAATTCTGCCACTTTTCAACATCATAATTATCACCAGCACCAAACCAGTGTCTACATACGGTATGTGAAAACAGCATGTTTCTATGATCTGTGGTTAAAAAGATAAGGTCCTAAAAAATACTTCTCTGTGACATCACAGGGTAGGATTAAAAGTAAGAGAAACTGATTTTCTAAACCGGCAACAAGTTTCTAGCCAGAGGGAGGGTATTTTCTTGCTCCCCACGTCGCCGCGAATCTCACAGTGTTTGAAAGCACATATTTTTTTAAATGTTTTAACTTTTGATGATGTCATCGGGTAGAACTTTTTTAATTTATATTTTGTTCTACAAAACGTAGAAATGCGCCATTTTAACATATTTAGACACTGGTATTGTGCTGGAGATAATGACATGGTGGAAAAGTGGTGGAAATGCCCTTGAAGTCATCATCATATTAAGGGACTTCAGCTGTGTAACATCTGTGGCCTCGGTAAGACAGCTGTGTGTCCATGAGGGGATCCAGAAGGGTTCAGACACTAGGTAGCAGTATGATGTCTATGAGGAGATCCATGGATGTTTTAGACACTGGGCAGCAGTGGCTCTCTTCTCTGGGAGGGGCTCCAGCATGGTGATGAGGAAGGCACTGAACTGAACTGCCTGCTCCCGTGGCCACTCGTATTTATCCAGCAGGATCTCACACAAAGTCCATGGCTTCAGCCTTGAGATGTGCCGCAGCTGCCCTGTGAGCAAACAAGGGAAATAATCGTGCCTAATTAAACTAGGTATTGACTGAACAGGATATGTAAAAGGAATTTGATAGTCATTGTGTGGGTGAAACTAAAATAAGGGTACTTTTTCACAAAAATATGAATCATATCCTACAAGAAACCATTAGTGTAAACCATTAGTGTATACAACAGTTCACAAGTCATTGTGAATAGATATACCTTTGTGATTGAAATATCGCCTGGAGTTTCTCCCTGAGAGGGCAAACTGGGATGGAAGGGGTCCCAGCAACTCAATTATATGAGCAATGTGATCTGAAAGGAGACATAGGACTATCCTGGTAAAATAAATATTATAGCATTTGTTTTTTGTTTTGAGCAAGAACAAAATCACCAGGAAAACACAGGACAGAGAGGAGAAAGGACAAGGCTTACCTTCCTCTCGAGAGAAGTTGTCCCCTGAATGGGGTTCAAACAGATATTCCCCAGTGGCCAGCTCAAATGCCTGTATGGAAATGTAAGAGTTCTTAGTAATAGATATTATGGACAGTCATAAGTGTGGATGTGGTGCTCCTGGGTTCTCACCATGCAGGCTGTGCTCCAGATGTCTGCAGGAGTGCCATAGTCAGCCCCAATCAGGACCTCCACAGAGCGGTACTGACAGGTCTGGATGTCCTCTGTGAAGTGTTTGTACTGGAGGAGAGCAGAGGTGAATAATTAGCCCTCCATACCATGAGCAATTACTTAATAGTAGCCTGTTGAATTTTATTTTAATGTGTTTTGTCATTTAAGGTACCCTATTTAATACATACACTACCGGTCAAAAGTTTTAGAACGCCTACTCATTCAAAGGTATTTCTTTATTTTTACTATTTTCTACATTGTAGAATAATAGTGAAGACATCAAAACTATGAAATAACACATATGGAATCATGTAGTAACCAAAAAAGTGTTAAATAAATCAAAATATATTTTATATTTGCGATTCTTCAAATAGCCACCCTTTGCCTTGATGACAGCTTTGCACACTCTTGGCATTCTCTCAACCAGCTTCATGAGGTAGTCACCTGGAATACATTTAAATTAACAGGTGTGCCTTCTTAAAAGTTATACAGAAGATTGCCCATTTTGGTAAAAGACCAAGTCCATATTATGGCAAGAACAGCTCAAATAAGCAAAGAGAAATGAAAGCCCATAATTACTTTAAGACATGAAGGTCAGTCAATATGTAACATTTCAAGAACTTTGAAAGTTTCTTCAAGTGCAGTCATAAAAACCATCAAGCGCTATGATGAAACTGGCTCTCATGAGGACTGCCACAGGAATGGAAGACCCAGTTTTACCTCTGCTGCAGAGGATAAGTTCATTAGTTACCAGCCTCAGAAATTGCAGAACAAATAAATGCTTCACAGAGTTCAAGTAACAGACACATCTCAACATCAACTGTTCAGAGGGGACTGTGTGAATCAGGCCTTCATGGTCGAATTGCTGCAAAGAAACCACTACTAAAGGACACCAATAATAAGAAGAGACTTGCTTGGGCCAAGAATCACGAGCAATGAACATTAGACCGGCGGAAATGTGTCCTTCGGTCTGGAGTCCAAATTGGAGACGTTTGGTTCCAACCGCCATGTCTTTATGAGACGCGGTGTGGGTGAACAGATGATCTCCGCATGTGTATTTCCCACCGTAAAGCATGGAGGATGTGGTGTTATGGTGCTTTGCTGGTGACACTGATTTATTTAGAATTCAATGCACACTTAACCAGCATGGCTACCACAGCATTCTGCAGCGATACGCCTCCCATCTGGTTTGGGCTTAGTGGGACTATCATTTGTTTTTCAACAGGACAATGACCAGGCTTGTGTAAGGGCTATTTTACCAAGAAGGAGAGTGATGGAGTGCTGCATCAGATGACCTGGCCTCCACAATGCCCCGACCTCAACCAAATTGAGATGGTTTGGGATGAGTCGGACCGCAGCGTGAAGGAAAAGCAGCCAACAAGTGCTCAGCATATGTGGGAACTCATTCTAGACTGTTGGAAAAGCATTCCAGGTGAAGCTGGTTGAGAGAATGCCAAGAGTGTGCAAAGCTGTGATCAAGGCAAAGGGTGGCTATTTAAAGAATCTCAAATATAAAATATATTTTGATTTGTTTAACACTTTTTTGGTTACTACATGATTCCATATGTGTCATTTCATAGTTTTGATGTCTTCACTATTATTATACAATGTAGAAAATAGTAAAAAATAAATAAATACCCTTGAATGAGTAGGTGTTCTAAAAATGTTGACCGGTAGTGTATATTCATTCAAATACACAATGTCTGTCAGATAGTAACTCACCACCCAGCAGGCGTTGCCCAGATCTGCAATCTTGATGCTGATTTCATCAGCATTCTGTGGCTTCAGAAGATTCTTCAACAGCTCTGTTTCACTGAACCCTGAAACAAATGCAGATGGCGCAGATAGATATTACTGAATACTTATCCACTACAATAATGGATGCGCCGTGAGTGCTCTGGTGCAAAATGGTTGCTATGTATGAGGTATTACAACATCCAATATCATTCATATACACGGAGTATACAAAACCTTAGGAACACCTGCTCTTTCTATGACATAGATACACTGACCAGGTGAAAGCTATGATCCCTTATTGATGTCACCTGTGAAATCCACTTCAATCAGTGTAGATGAAGGAGAGAAGAGAGGTTAAGTTGTTAAGGATCGGACCGTTTTTTCCAATTTTCGCCTAAAATGACATACCCAAATCTAACTGCCTGTAGCTCAGGACCTGAAGCAAGGATATGCATATTCTTGATTACATTTGAAAGGAAACACTTTGAAGTTTGTGGACATGTGAAATTAATGTAGGAGAATATAACACATTAGATCTGGTAAAAGATAATACAAACAAAAAAACATGCTTTATTATATTTTTTGGTTCCATCATCTTTGAAATGCAAGAGAAAGGCCACAATATAATATTGCAGTTTAGGCGCAATTCAGATTGTGGCCACTAGATGGCAGCAGTGTGTGTGCAAAGTTTCAGATTGATCCAGTGAAGCTTTGCATACTGGACTATTTTGTATCAAGTCTGCCCAAATGTGCTGAATTGATCAATTGATATATTTTCAAGTACATAACTATAGTGAACAACACAAATGATATGGTAATACAAAATGTAAGTTTACACACTCCCAGGAATGTCATACATGATGGATCATTAGCTTATACACTAACTTTCACACATCTAGATGGCCGGGCAGGGTGGGTGTGGAGCCAGAGACAGCAAGGGTTCAAACTGTAGAACCCAGTTCCTATATTTGAATATAAAAATTGATTTTATCAAACAAAACTATGCTACATTTTCTCTCTGGGACCCTCACGATTACAAATTAGAGCAAGATACAATTATTTACATTTTGATTTAGCAGAGCTCTTACCAGAGTACAGGAAGGTTAAGTGCCTTGCTCAAGGCACATTCGATTTCACCTAGTCGGCGCGGGATAGAATGTTACTCAAAAACACAAGCTATGCCCCCACGAATGTAAGTACTTATTACTGCAGAGGTGAATGTATCACCAGTTGCGGGAACTTTTGTTGTTGTGCAATCTCCTCAAACAATAGCATGGTATTTTTTCACTGTAATAGCTACTGTAAATTGGACAGTGCAGTTAGATTAACAAGAATTTAAGCTTTCTGCCCATTTAAGACATGTCTATGTCCTGGAGAGTTTGCTGCTACTTACAACAGTCATGCTAATCACATTAGCGCACATTAGCTCAACAATCCCGTATACGGGGACACCGATCCGTAGAGGTTAAAGAAGGAATTTTTAGCTTGAGCAATGGCATGATTGTGATGTTGTTGCCATCAGAGGGTGAATGGGCAAGACAAAAGATTTAAGTGCCTTTGAACGGGGTATGGTAGTAGGTGACAGGCGCACCGGTTTGAGTGTGTCAAGAACTGCAACGCTGCTGTTTATTTTTTTCACGCTCAAGAGTTTCACGTTTGTATCAAGAATGGTCCACCACCCAAAGGACAGCCAGCCAACTTGACACAACTGTGGGAAGCAGTGGAGTCAACATGGGCCAGCATCCCTGTGGAATGCTTTCGACACCTTGTAGAGTCCATGCCCCAATGAATTGAGGCTGTTATGAGGGCAAAAGGGGTTGCAACTCAATATCAGGAAGGTGTTCCTCATGTTTTGTACACTCAGTGTAATTAAACATAATCATCAGCATATGCATGAAATACTATATTGCAAATCATTAAAGTTCAATTGAAAGCTGGACAGGTATTCTGACGTATACTACACGGAAATATGCTGTGACAATATACTCCATACAGCCGCCTCCAGAGCAAGACTGACCATGTGATGGTGATGAGGGCTGGTTGTCTCTCTGGGTAGAATGATGTAACACTGCAGAATGTCTAGAGCGGAGAGACATTGTAGTCAATGATGGTGCATCTTCCATCGGTGACAAGGCTGACTCCTTGCTGTCAGAGCCCATTGCTTCTTCATGCAGCAGGGTCTGTCTCCAAGTAGCACACACAGGACCTGAAGACTTAGAGGAAGAGGTGGAACTAGGAGTGCTACATGGAGTGGTGATATTAGAGAATGACACATGAGGTTTCGCCCTCTTCTGACGGTCAACTAAAGTGTCCTCGCCCTGCTGCGGCTGTTGATGTTTGTTCTCCTTTCTCGACAACCTGGCCCTCGGGATCCTGGAGACCTTCCCGGTCTATGAACACAGTCACAGGAGTATGATGGGAAACTTAAAAATGGGTCATCTCTCATTTTGCAGCACGCAACAGTGTTAAAAAATATTTTCTAACAATCTCTGCAAATATGGTACATTTCATTAAATATCAGTACCACAAATCCCTTTTTCATGCAGTGCATGCTAATTTTCAGTGAGTTGATCAAGGTGAACAATTTCACTACAAATGCAAAGGTGTAGTTATACATACTGAATGAATACAAATCGCAATGAGTAGACTGTGCATCTTCATTCAGAAATGCAGTTAATGTGCAAGTTAATGATTAATACACATTTCTCATAACACACACACCACTGCTCTGTTTTCATGGTTGAATGAGTAGAAAACCTAAAACAATACCGTAACTATTGACAACAGCCAAAACAAATAACATAGCACATTTTTAGATTCACAGATCAATGCTTTCCTTCAGAAGGACCTTCCTAGGGCCAAGATGCAGTGAATCAGCACACACTCACAATGCCAAGGCCATCTTACCCAAACCCCAAGAGTCTGGAAAGCCACAGTCAACTTCCCCAACAAGTTTGACACAATCTAATACCAAAGTTATGATAGGAGGGGTAAGAGAGACATAGGTGACAGATGAGGTCATCAAAAGATTACCAGAAACTATGTTTACCCCTTTGTAGCAGTATGGTTGGTTTATGCTTTGAGACAACAAGACAAAGCGTTGATTGACATACCTGCTTCTCTCTTAGACTGGTATTTGCTGGCATCAGTAGTAGATGAAGAGATCAGCAGGGCACAAGAGAGCATGAAATCAAATCAGAGAACAAAAATCTAAATTTATTGAAGTAATATTAACCTTGTTAATCAACCACTCCTAATATTCAGCATCGTTATTGCATCTCCATATCTCTGTAACAAATCTTTTCCATTTCCCTCCATCTAAAAATAAAATAAGTAAAAAACAGACAGAGGAATATGTACTTAATGACATGTATGCCAACATGGAATAGAGAGCAATCCTAACCTGAACAGCTTGTGGGAGCAGGAGACACCGGCAGCTCCCGTAGCTTGGTGTCGGCTGCCAACTCCTGGACGTAAACCTCATCCACTCTCAAAAGGATGTTCTCTGGCTTGATGTCTGTGTGGATAATCTTGCATTTAGTGTGCAAGTAATCTAAGCCCTGGAAAACCTGTGATATGAGACAACAATGGTGATATACTGTGGCTACATGACACCAGGGAACACACAAAGGAGATCATCCGTTCACAAAAGCTGCTCTGGATGATAAAACGATAGAGAGGATTTGGAGATCACAGGGGAAAGACACCACCTGTCTGAGGATGCTCTTAACGCAGGGCAGGGGAAGGCCAGTGTAGTTGGATTTGATGATCCACTTCAGCAACTGGTGACCCAGCACTTCAAGAACCATGCATACATCTGGCACATAGCTGAATTAAGGAGAAACCATTTCACTCAAAATGTGCAAGTTAACCTATGACACATATTGTATGAGAAATAGATCATGGGTAAAATGATAACATGTGGATGGCTTTTAAAAGGATACGCTCCCCATTGACTCCAGAGACTTTGAAGTCATCGATAAGCTGCACAACAGTGTCTCGTTTAGGGTCTGATGGGTCACTGTCCCTTACCTAAATGCAATTGATAACAGGACATAACTGGGGAGTAAACATTACTTTTCATTATCACCATTGTGCAACTAATAAAACACAATAGTTCCTAATAAGCTTGGCTCTGGTTGATGAACAAGGAAGGTATTACACTGATTAGGCCTATATAGCAGAGAATAAATGGTTGAACATGGGTATATAATACTGACACATTTCAGAAGCTTGATCTCATCCAAAGCAGTCTCTGTGAAGGTTGGAGCACTCTTTACCACCTTCAGAGCCACAAAACGCCTCTTCCTGCGCATACAAATAAACAATGTGAATCACTTGCTTTAGCTGTCATAATCACAATATGAAACCGAAGGTCAATCAATAACAAAAACAATGTTATCAGTAACTATTATACTTACTCAATGTCCCAGCCTAGCCACACAGTGGAGAAGTGGCCCCATCCCAGCTTCTTCACCACCTGGTAACGGTCAATGAATATTGCTCCAATTTCCACCGGGTAGTAGCCACCTACAATGAACAGTGAAACCTCTTTCTGATCAACAATAAACTGTATAATAATCTCCTACCACACATTATTGTACTGTTGTTTGGTGATATTCGGCACACTGGTGAAGTACCTATACAGTAATCAGATGGATTCTCCTGTTCCTCGTCATCTGATCCCAAAATCTCAGGTGAAGGGGGATATGATGGTAGTTTGATGGTAAGGGGTGGTTTGGGGGTAGGGGCCACTAGTGGTTTAGGGGTAAGGGATTTGGGGGTAAGCGGTGGGTCGGGGGCAGTGGATGAACTGAGGGTAAGGGGTGGGTTGGGGTTAACAGCAGGTAAACTGAGGGAAAGGGCTGATATCGCAGCAGCATATCTAGATGAAGGCACATTGGACATTGTCAAAGGACACACAATAGAACAGAGAGCCGATGCCTTCTAGCCTAGACAGCACAGGCCATACAAGAGCAGAATTGAAGAAAATGGAGATGAAGATGGTACACGCAGAAGGCCTATGACAAAAAGAAAAACAGACAAACTGTTCATGAAACACTTTCACACTATTATAAGTTGACCTCCTAGGCATTCATACATAGGATCTATGAGGTTAAATCAGGCAACACAACATGGCCAATGTACAGATAACTGCCAAAATAATGGAGACACCAACATAAAGTGTCTTAACAGGGCGTTGGGCCACCACAAACCACCAGAAAAGCTTCAACCCCTCTTTTAAAGTCATGAGATCTCTTCTAGCCATGGTACCCAAAATAATGGGCAACTGGGCAATTTTATACATGACCCTAAGCATGATGGGATGTTAATTACTTAATTAACTCACCATATCTGTGTGGAAGCACCTGCTTTCACAAAGTATTCACACCTCTTGACTTTTTCCACATTTTGTTGTGTTACAGCCCAAATTGAAAATTGATTAAATTGAGATGTTTTGTCACTAGCCTACACACAATATCATGCTGTGGGGATGTTTTTCCATCGGCAGGCACTGGGAAACTAGTCAGGATCGAGGGAAAGTACAGAGAGATCCTTGATGAAAACCTGCTCCAGAGCGCTCAGTACCTCAGACTGGGGTGAAGGTTCATCTTCCAAAAGGAGATGAACCTTCACCCCATAGCCAAAACAACGCAGGAGTGGCTTCGGGACAAGTCTTTGAATGTCCTTGACTGGCCCAGCCAGAGCCCAGACTTGAACCTGATCGAACATCTCTGGAGAGACCTGAAAATAGCTGTGTATTGATGCTTCCCATCCAACCTGACAGAGCTTTAGAGGATCTGCAGTGAAGAATGGGGAAATACTTCCCAAATATAGGTTTGCCAGGTTTGTAGCGTCATACCTAAGAAGACTTGAGTCTGTAATTTCTGCCAAAGGTGCTTCAACAAAGTACTGAGTAAAGGGTCTGAATACTTATGTAAATGTGATATTTCAGTTTTGTATTTGCAAAATTTTCTAAACTTGTTTTTGTTATCATTATGGGGGTATTGTGTGTAGATTGAGGGGAAAGGCTGTAACATAACAAATGTGGGAAAAAGCAAAGGGGTCTGAATACATTCCGAATGCACTGTATCAATACACCCAGTCACAACAAAGATACAGGCGTCCTTCCTACCTCCAGAGAGGAAGGAAACCGCTCAGGGATTTCACCATGAGGCCAATGGTGACTTCAAAACCGTTAGAGTTTAATGGCTGTGATATGAGAAAACTGAGGATTGATCAACAACATTGTAGTTACTCCACAATACTAACCTAATTGAGAAGAGTGAAAAGAAGAAAGCCTGTACATAATAAAAATATTCCAAAACATGCATCCTGTTTGCAACAAGGCACTAAAGTACATTTAGAAAAGCACTTAACTTTTTGTCCTGAATACACAATTTTATGTTTGGGGCAAATCCAATATATTACTGAGTACCACTCCATATTTTTAAGCTTAGTGTTGGCTGCATCATGTTATGATTAAGGAATGGGGAGTTTTTCCAGGATAAAACATTTACGGAATGGAGCTAAACACAGGCATAATTCTAGAGGAAAGCCTGGTTCAGTCTGCTTTCCACCAGACACTGGTAGATGAATTCACCTTTCAGCAGGACAATAACAGAAAACACAAGGCCAAATCTACACTGGAGTTGCTTATCAAGAAGACTGTGAATGTTCCTGAGTGGCTGAGTTAGCTTTGACTTAAATCTACTTGAAAATCTATGGCAAAACCTGAAAATGGTTGTCTAGCAATGATCAACAATCAATTTGACAGAGCTTGAAGAATTTTGAGAAGAGTAATGGGCAAATGTTGTACAATCCAGGTGTGGAAAGCTATTAGAGACTTGCCCAGAAAGACTCACAGCTGTAATCGCTGCCAAAGGTGCTTCTGTAAAGTATTGACTCAGGGGTGTGAATACTTATGTAAATTATATATTTAATTTAGACTTTCAATAAATCTGTCATTTCAAATTAGTGAATTCAGGCTGTAACACAATGTGGAGTAAGTCAAGGGGTATGAATACTTTCTGAAGGCACTGTACTTCGTATTCCTCATTTACTGAAGTGTTTCCTATATTTTGGCAGTTACCTGTACCTACAAAAGAGTAAAGCCTATTCAAATTCTATATTTAGTAAATATGATCATTCTAGATACTGCCTGCAATGACATTTTAAAGGGTCCAGTGAATGTGCAAGAGACAGTTTATTTTTAGCTGGGTTTCGATGAATGGCTTGTCAACGTAAATAGCGCTTCAAAGCTGGCCTGTAACTATTGACTGAGTGCATGCTCTCTAGCTGAGTCAATCTTGTAAACATGTCACAACTACAGCTAGATACGGCCGTCTCAGTCAAGTCATGAAGGTGTCAAACACAACCCCCAGTCAGAGTTGTTTGGTAAGAAAATTGCATGTAGAAAACAAAAAAGTCAAACCTGGTCCTGCTTTTGACCAATTCCGCACTGCCAAGTCCAGCAAACCTGTCCTCTAAAGAAAAAGAAAATATTTTGTAACAGATTATTTACATTTGTATAACTGATTTGTTTAACTAACTAGCTAAGGCAAAAAGGAAATTAGCGGGCGAATAATAGTCGTTAGGTAGCCTGAGTCTGTTCTCGACAAAAGTTGTGTATTTGTTGCCGTTTGTCATTGCTTTGAAGCTGATATCAACGACCGACTTCAAGTTTATGCAGTTGTTACAATGTGACATATCAAATAACAATTGGTTATAAACTTTATTACACCCTGTAACTGTGAAAGAACAATGTCATATTTACCCAAATACTTACATATAATTGTGAAAAACGGAGTCCTCTGATTTCTCTGGCAGCTGAGGGACGGTTCCTTCCTCGCAAATGTTTGCTCCGCGTGAGTGCCTGCCCATACGCACAGCACATGTTCTGAAAATCACATGTTCTGAAAATAACATGAGCTGAGCTGAGTTGAGCTGTGCGGGTAGCTGGCAAGACACTGGTTTCCACTTTCCACTAGAATCAGTGGTATTCAACCGGGTCTCCGCTGCCCGCTGCAGGGGGTTTCAATGTTTTTATGAATATCGCTAGCAACAACATAATACATTAATTTTGAATTACAAACATACTAGTGCATTGGCTGTTGGTAAACGTTCTTAACTTGGACATACATTTTTGCCAAAACATGGCTAACCTTTGTTTAAACAGCTGCTCTTAGCGAAAATGTGTTTGGAGTTACCTTTCTAGCAAATAGGTTATGTTGGAGTTTACACTTCCGCTTCCAATTATAATGTGGGGAGGTTAAAATAATGAAACGATCTACCAAATCTATTCATTTTAAAATGTTGATTACTTCTCCGTGCCATTATCATTCACCTGATGAGAAAACATATGATGGGGTCGCCGGTTTGCCTGGGAGGGGGTCCCTGGGCAAGAAAATGATTTATAAAATACCCCTGCACTAGATAACACAGCCACAAAGTCAAAATTGCTATATTTTAAACATTCATGTTTTTTGGTCTTAATTCAAGGTTAGGGTTAGGCATAAGGTTAGCAGTATGTTAAAAGTTAGGGTTAAGGTTAGGTTTACACATTTTACTCACTCACTTTCCCTCACTCACAAACTCTCTCAAGGGGTGGAAAGAGTATTCAAGCAGAAGTACTGTTACTTTAATTACATTTTACTCAAGTAGAAGTAAAATTACTTGGAAAAGCTACTCAATTACAGTAACAAGAGTATTTGTAATTAGTTACTTTGCACCTCTGGAAAAAAAGTAATCTGTCAAATTGTGTCAAATTCTTCAAGCAAAGCCAAAGCCATTAGAATTAGGCTAATAAGGATGAAATGTCCTATGATACATATTATATTTAATTGAGGCAAATCACTCACAGACATTACATTGTAAATACATGAAAATCAGTATACTGTATTTTCTTTTAAAGATTCCAGTTCAACGTGTTGAATTAACCATGACAACACTTTATTTAAAAAGATCAATGAATGCACCCCATCCTCCTCACACAGAAAATGTACAGTATTTCTCATCCCTTTGAAATATGGTCATAGCGTAATGGGATGAAGAAAATATGATGAGAAAAAACAGATCAGTCAATATGTCTTAAACCATTCCAGTCAATCAATATAACTCATTTGAGGCATTACTCCAAAAAACGAATACACTTGTAAATGTCAGTTAACACCACACTTATCTTGCTGGTGCTGAGAATTATATGGGCTTTATGACAGAAGTGTATTTCACAAAAAGATACAAAATATTATAAGTTCATAAATATACAATATATATTCTGGATAAATTTGCTTTGAGCTAAATGTATATTCATTTATGTTTTACAGACATAAGTTACATCACCTGAAAAATACATTTACGACCCCCAATGCACAGCAGTTTGGTCATCAGTTTCAGGTTTAGACTAGCTGGAAGAACTTCACACACTAACTATTGAATGGGAAAACACCAACATTTTAAACCATATAACATTCCACTAAAGGTACTTGAGAATAAAGGAATATTTTCAGCTGTAAAACATGTCAATAGATGAAAAGCCATGACATTCATGAGTCTGTTATCCTCAGTAAAAATGAAAGATCATTATTAGCTACGTACAGTTGAAGTCGGAAGTTTACATACACTTAGGTTGGAGTCATTAAAACTTGTTTTCCAACCACTCCACAAATTTATTGTTAACAAACTACAGTTTTGGCAAGTCGGTTAGGACATCTACTTTGTGCATGACACAAGTAATTTTTTCAACAATTGTTTACAGACAGATTATTTCACTTATAATTCACTGTATCATAATTCCAGTAGGTCAGAAGTTTACATACACTATGTTGACTGTGCCTTTAAACAGCTTGGAAAATTCCAGAAAACGATGTCATGGCTTTAGAAGCTTCTGATAGGCTAATTGACATAATTTGAGTCAATTGGAGGTGTACCTGTGGATGTATTTCAAGGCCTACCTTCAAACTCAGTGCCTCTTTGCTTGACATCATGGGAAAATCAAAAGAAATCAGCCAAGACCTCAAGACCTCAGAAAAAAATTGTAGACCTCCACAAGTCTGGTACATCCTTGGGAGCAATTTCCAAATGCCTGAAGGTACCACGTTCAGCTGTACAAACAATAGTACGCAAGTATAAACACCATGGGACCACGCAGCCGTCATACCGCTCAGGAAGGAGACGCATTCTGTCTCCTAGAGATGAACGTACTTTGGTGTGAAAAGTGCAAATCAATCCCAGAACAACAGCAAAGGACCTTGTGAAGATGCTGGAGGAAACAGGTACAAAAGTATCTATATCCACAGTAAAACGAGTCCTATATCGACATAACCTGAAAGGCCGCTCAGCAATGAAGAAGCCACTGCTCCAAAACCGCCATAAAAAAGCCAGACTACGGTTTGCAACTGCACATGGGGACAAAGATCGTACTTTTAGGATAAATGTTCTATGGTCTGATGAAACAAAAATAGAACTGTTTGGCCATAATGACCATTGTTATGTTTGGAGGAAAAAGGGGGTGCTTGCATGCCGAAGAACACCATCCCAACCGTGAAGCACGGGGGTGGCAGCATCATGCTGTGGGGGTGCTTTGCTGCAGGAGGGACCAGTGTACTTCACAAAATAGATGGCATCATGAGGAAGGAAAAGTATGTGGATATATTGAAGCAACATCTCAAGACATCAGTCAGGATGTTAAAGCTTGGTTGCAAATGGGTATTCCAAATGGACAATGACCCCAAGCATACTTCCAAAATTGTGGCAAAATGGCTTAACGACAATAAAGTCAAGGTATTGGAGTGGCCATCACAAAGCCCTGACCTCAATCCTATAGAAAATGTGTGGGCAAGGAGGCCTACAAACCTGACTCAGTTACACCAGCTCTGTCAGGAGGAATGGGCCAAAATTCACCCAGCTTATTGTGGGAAGCTTGTGGAAGGCTACCCGAAACGTTTGACCCAAGTTAAACAATTTAAAGGCAATGCTACCAAATACTAATTGAGTGTATATAAACTTCTGACCCACTGGGAATGTGATGAAAGAAATAAAAGCTGAAATCAATAATTCTCTCTACTATTATTCTGACATTTCACATTCTTAAAATAAAGTGGTGATCCTAACTGACCTAAGACAGGGAATATGTACTGGGATTAAATGTCAGGAATTGTGAAAAACAGAGTTTAAATGTATTTGGCTAAGGTGTATGTAAACTTCCGACTTCAACTGTATACAATAGTATGTGGACACCCCTTCAAATTAGTGGATTCGGCTATTTCAGCCACACCCGTTACTGGCAGGTGTATAAAATCAAGCACACAGCCATGCAATCTCCATTGACAAACATTGGCAGTGGAATGGCCTTACTGAAGAGCTCAGTGACTTTCAACATGGCACTGTAATAGGATGCCACCTTTCCAACAAGTCAGTTGGTCAAATTTCTGCCCTGCTAGAGCTTCCCCGGTCAACTGTAAGTACTGTTATTGTGAAGTGGAAACATCTAGGAGCAACAACGGCTCAGTCGCGAAGTGGTAGGCCACACAAGCTCACAGAACCTGACCGCTGAAGCGCATAGCGCGTAAAAATCGTCTGTTCTCGGGTTGCAACACTCACTACCGAGTTCCAAACTGCCTCTGGAAGCAACGTCAGCACAATAACTGTTAGTCGGGAGCTTCATGAAATGGGTTTCCATGGCCGAGCAGCCGCACACAAGCTTAAGATCACCAAGCGTCGGCTGGGGTGGTGTTAAGCTCGCCGCCATTGAACTCTGGAGCAGTGGAAACGCGTTCTCTGGAGGGATGAATCATGTTTCACCATCAGGCAGTCCGAATCTGTGTTTGGCGGATGCCAGGAGAACGCTACCTGCCCCAATGCATCGTGCCAACTGTAAAGTTTGGTGGAGGAGGAATAATGGTCTGGGGCTGTTTTTCATGGTTCGGGCTTGGCCCCTTTGTTCCAGTGAAGGGAAATCTTAACGCTACAGCATACAGTGACATTCTAGACGATTCTGTGCATCCAACTTTGTGACAACAGTTTGGGGAAGGCCCTTTCCTGTTTCAGCATGACAGTGCCGCCGTACACAAAGCGAGGTCCATACAGAAGTGGTTTGTCAAGATCAGTGTGGAAGAACTTGACTGGCCTGCACAGAGCTCTGACCTCAACCCCATCGAACACCTTTGGGATTAATTGGAACGCCGACAGCGAGCCAGGCATAATCGCCCAACATCAGTGCCCGACCTCACTAATGCTCTTGTGGCTGAATGGAAGCAAGTCCCCGCAGCAATGCTCCAACATCTAGTGTAAAGCCTTCCCAGAAGAGTGGAGGCTGTTATAGCAGCAAAGGGGGGACCAACTCCATAGTAATGCCCATGATTTTGGAATGAGATGCTCGACGAGCAGGTGTCCACATAGTTTTGGTCACGTAGTGTATCATGGGAAGCTTATAAAAGTGTCGTTCTTGAATTGTGGTGGCATTTGGGCATTCATGAATAAAATAATTTGTACCATTTTGATAACATTGTGCCACCACTAGGAGTAGCGTATGACAACATGATACAATGGAAATGGAATCTCATACTAGCACACACTTATGAGTTCTGACATAAGGCCTGCTCACGCCATCATTCAGCAGTCCCATCCCTAGCCCTGTTCTAGTTAGACCCCTTTAAAAGGAATTTATTGTCAAGTCTTGCTTATTATCATGATACATACAGATCCAAATATGTGGTTTATTGTTGGGCCACAAACATTCACCATTTGACGTAGACTTGAACATGAACTTCACCCTGGTAACACTTGATACCCTGTCAACCATTTTCTGGTTTTCAAGTGTTCTCTCTTGGGGAAAATGTCTCATCCCACTGTTTTACTTGCTTTTAAGGGGTTAAGGCTTTTGACATTCATAAAGTGCTCTGAAGGAAAACGTGCTACGCAACTGAATGAATAGAAATGACTAGAAAGTTAATTAAACGACTGTCCTAGACCTCTAAAAGCCCTCAGGTTTTTATCTGAACTTTACTATTATGACCTTTCAGCAGCTGGACTCAGAAAATGCAGAAAAATTTGATTGCATGAAACAACTCAATTTGGCAACAACATGAATTGCTTTCATTTGTTGATTGAAGACCAAGCTTTGAAAGGATTTGTGTTAGCATTGCAGATGATTAGAAAGCGCTAATGTTTTTACAAAAGGTAGGGTTTTGTTTTAAACACAGAGCCACAGCTCCTGTTCCTCAGTCTACGATATTGCAATGTAAGTCCCCATTCATTTAACAAACATGAGAAATAGCAAGCCAATGCATGTTTGATGGACAGATGAAAAGATAAGACAGATGTAATATATTCATCTTTACAAACATGTACATTTACACATTCACTGGTCTAAATACTTTTTAGATGATATGAGTTCATTACATATTTTTGTAAATCACAAGACTCATGAGCAATAAATTACCTCTTCTATATCTATTCTTTATATCTCAGAAGATACAAAATAGTAATTTAGAATACATATACTATATTCTGTAAAAAATTATATCTTGGGAGATTTGTTAGGTTAAACAAGGAGGATATTTGTTACATGTGGCTTGGGTCTGACCAACAATAGAATACAATACAGTATACGGTAGCTACAGAATAACAATATATTCTGAGACTCCGGGGACAGCTCCAGCGCAAATCCATTCTTCGCTTCGCGATCTAGGAGTCAAAAGTTGCTGGGCTAATTTTCAACAGAGGGCATTCAGCACAGCTTTACAGTCTTTTTCTGCTGGGGTTGTAATGTGTTTTTTTTTTAGCTTGTGAGGTCACCTTATATCAGCTCCTTTTACATTGTTTGGATCTCTGTGTGTGTGTGTGTGTGTGTGTGTGTGTGTGTGTGTGTGTGTGTGTGTGTGTGTGTGTGCACGTGTGTGTTTAAATAAATATTCAGCTACATTAGACCAACGTGCCAGGGTCAGCACTGGGCTCCTTCAGAGTCATGTCTTGCATCTGAGGATGAATGGGCTCTTGATAGAGTGAGAACTCCATTGACCTGCCATAGAGAGAGCACAAATCATTACTGCACTCAAAAGTACCGTAATGTGCACCTTTGTGAATGTTACCAACAATCATTACAAAGTACAGAAATACTCACCTTCCATGCAATGGGTGGCCATGGAAGCTGGCAGACTGAGACATCTGGGACCTATGGAGTGGATCACCTTGTATAGACTGAGCCTGGCGCACCAAAGGGTGGGGGTGTGAGAGGCGGGAGACCCCTGCATCATGCCCCTTTGACGTGGTGGTAGGGTAGCCGAGGGCGTTCCTCAGATACCAGTCTCTGAGACCCTCCAGCGCCAGGGCTTTATGCAGACTCCTCGTCGAGTCCTCAGGGGTGGGGAGAGAGAACTGGGGAGGCCTGTGATTGAATGAGGGGCCGGACAGCTCAGTCTGGTAGGGGTGCAGGTTGGGAATGGAGGAGGTAGTGGAGCTTGGGGCAGGGTGGGGAGACTCATAGGCAGAGAGCAGGATGGTGTCCTGCTGCAGGGGGATGAAGGGTCCACAGGACTTGGTCCGCGTGACTTTGACTCTGTGAGGCTCAGCCTGGGAGCCACGGATCACCATGGGGCTGTAGGCAGGGGCAGCACTGGGAAGATGCACCTGGGAGTGTGAGAAGCCGTTGGCTTGAGGAGGCACTGCAGCAGTAGAAGATCGAGGAGAGGAAATGTCCTGCCAGATTCTACCCGTTGATTGGTACAGCTGGTGTTGCACTTGAATCCTCTGTTGCTTCCCCCAGATGTAATCCATTAGGAGCTCGTTGTAACCCCCTCCCCCTGCTTCTCCTCTCCCACCCATGGACAGCCGCATGTTGCCCTGCTCCATAGAGCCGTCCAGGTGTCTCTCAGGACTGCCCAGGTGGATGTGCCTCAGCTTGCCGTCAGTGAGGGCCTCAGAGCTTTTGTAGGGCCCTCCTTTGGGGGGCATCCCGTTCCTGGGGGCTGGGTCCTCGGGGAGACTGGAGCGGTCAAGCAGGGCCTCAGAACTGTTGCTCCGCCGGGCACAGGAGCTGTAAGGGCAGCCTCTGCGCTCCGAGGAGGAGCCTTCCTGGGCCAAGGGCACCATATGTGGTACATCCAGGCTGCCAGACCACTGCTTTAGCGCAATCCCACCAGAGCCATCCGATCTGAAGGAGAGAAAGAGAGCAGCATTTGATGAGCTTATTGGAATAGGTTAGTCCTAATGTAAACACAGTATCTTTACATTTCATATCCCATTGATTGAATGTGTGATATCAAAGGGAGCATGATATACAGTGGCTTGCGAAAGTATTCACCCCCTTGGCATTTCTCCTATGTTGTTCCCTTACAACCTGGAATTAAAATTGATTGTATCATTTGATTTACACAGCATGCCTACCACTTTGAAGATGCAACATATTTTTTCTTGTGAAACAAACAAGAAACAAGACAAAATAACAGAAAACTTGAGCTTGCATAACTATTCCCAGCGTCGTCCAGGGTAGGGGAGGGATTTGGCCGGCAGGGGATGTAGCTCAGTTGGTAGAGCATGGCGTTTGCAACGCCAGGGTTGTGGGTTCGATAAAATAATGTATGCACTAACTGTAAGTCGCTCTGGATAAGAGCGTCTGCTAAATGACTAAAATGTAAATGTAAATGTATTCACCCCCGCAAAGACAATACTTTGTAGAGCCACCTTTTGCAGCAATTACAGCTGAAAGTCTCTTGGGGTATGTCTCTATAAGCTTGGCACATCTAGCCACTGGGATTTTTGCCCATTCTTCAAGGCAAAACTGCTCCAGCTCCTTCAAGTTGGATGGGTTCCGCTGGTGTACAGCAATCTTTAAGTCATACCACAGATTCTCAATTGGATTGAGGTCTGGGCTTTGACTAGGCCATTCCAAGACATTTAAATGTTTCCCCTTAAACCACTCATGTGTTACCTTAGCAGTATGCTTAGGGTCATTGTCCTGCTGGAAGGTGAACCTCCGTCCCAGTCTCAAATCTCTGGAAGACTGAAACAGGTTTCCCTCAAGAATTTCCCTGTATTTAGCGCCTTCCATCATTCCTTCAATTCTGACCAGTTTCCCAGTCCCTGCCGATGAAAAACATCCCCACAGCATGATGCTGCCACCACCATGGTGGATGGTGTTCTCTGGGTGATGAGAGGTGTTGGGTTTGCGCCAGACATAGTGTTTTCCTTGATGGCCAAAAAGCTCAATTCTAGTCTCATCTGACCAGAGTACCTTCTTCCATATGTTTGGGGAGTCTCCCACATGCCTTTTGGCGAACACCAAATGTGTTTGCTTATTTTTTTCTTGAAGCAATGGCTTTTTTCTGGCCACTCTTCCGTAAAGCCCAGCTCTGTGGAGTGTACGGCTTAAAGTGGTCCTATGGACAGATACTCCAATCTCCGCTGTGGAGCTTTGCAGCTCCTTCAGGGTTATCTTTGGTCTCTTTGTTGCCTCTCTGATTAATGCCCTCCTTGCCTGGTCCGTGAGTTTTGGTGGGCGGCCCTCTCTTGGCAGGTTTGTTGTGGTGTCATATTCTTTCAAATTTTTAATAATGGATTTAATGGTGCTCCGTGGGATGTTCAAAGTTTCTGATATTTTTTTGTAACCCAACCCTGATCTGTACTTCTCCACAACTTTGTCCTTGACCTGTGTGGAGAGCTCCGTCTTCATGGTGCCGCTTGCTTGGTGGTGCCCCTTGCTTAGTGGTGTTGCAGACTCTGGGGCCTTTCAGAACAGGTGTATATATACTGAGATCATGTGACAGATCATGTGACACTTAGATTGCACACAGGTGGACTTTATTTAACTAATTATGTGACTTCTAAAGGTAATTGGTTGCACCATAACTTATTTAGGGGCTTCATAGCAAAGGGGGTGAATACATACAGTGGGGGAAAAAAGTATTTAGTCAGCCACCAATTGTGCAAGTTCTCCCACTTAAAAAGATGAGAGAGGCCTGTAATTTTCATCATAGGTACATGTCAACTATGACAGACAAAAGGAGAAAAAAAATTCCAGAAAATCACATTGTAGGATTTTAAATTAATTTATTTGCAAATGATGGTGGAAAATAAGTATTTGGTCAATAACAAAAGTTTCTCAATACTTTGTTATATACCCTTTGTTGGCAATGACACAGGTCAAACGTTTTCTGTAAGTCTTCACAAGGTTTTCACACACTGTTGCTGGTATTTTGGCCCATTCCTCCATGCAGATCTCCTCTAGAGTAGTGATGTTTTGGGGCTGTCGCTGGGCAACACGGACTTTCAACTCCCTCCAAAGATTTTCTATGGGGTTGAGATCTGGAGACTGGCTAGGCCACTCTGGGACCTTGAAATGCTTCTTACGAAGCCACTCCTTCGTTGCCCGGGCGGTGTGTTTGGGATCATTGTCATGCTGAAAGACCCAGCCACGTTTCATCTTCAATGCCCTTGCTGATGGAAGGAGGTTTTCACTCAAAATCTCACGATACATGGCCCCATTCATTCTTTCCTTTACACGGATCAGTCGTCCTGGTCCCTTTGCAGAAAAACAGCCCCAAAGCATGATGTTTCCACCCCCATGCTTCACAGTAGGTATGGTGTTCTTTGGATGCAACTCTGCATTCTTTGTCCTCCAAACACGACGAGTTGAGTTTTTACCAAAAAGTTCTATTTTGGGTTCATCTGACCATATGACATTCTCCCAATCCTCTTCTGGATCATCCAAATGCACTCTAGCAAACTTCAGACGGGCCTGGACATGTACTGGCTTAAGCAGGGGGACACGTCTGACACTGCAGGATTTGAGTCCCTGGCGGCGTAGTGTGTTACTGATGGTAGGCTTTGTTACTTTGGTCCCAGCTCTCTGCAGGTCATTCACTAGGTCCCCCCGTGTGGTTCTGGGATTTTTGCTCACCGTTCTTGTGATCATTTTGACCCCACGGGGTGAGATCTTGCGTGGAGCCCCAGATCGAGGGAGATTATCAGTGGTCTTGTATGTCTTCCATTTCCTAATAATTGCTCCCACAGTTGATTTCTTCAAACCAAGCTGCTTACCTATTTCAGATTCAGTCTTCCCAGCCTGGTGCAGGTCTACAATTTTGTTTCTGGTGTCCTTTGACAGCTCGTTGGTCTTGGCCATAGTGGAGTTTGGAGTGTGACTGTTTGAGGTTGTGGACAGGTGTCTTTTATACTGATAACAAGTTCAAACAGGTGCCATTAATACAGGTAACGAGTGGAGGACAGAGGAGCCTCTTAAAGAAGAAGTTACAGGTCTGTGAGAGCCAGAAATCTTGCTTGTTTGTAGGTGACCAAATACTTATTTTCCACCATAATTTGCAAATAAATTCATTAAAAATCCTACAATGTGATTTTCTGGAATTTTTTTCCTCAATTTGTCTGTCATAGTTGACGTGTACCTATGATGAAAATTACAGGCCTCTCTCATCTTTTTAAGTGGGAGAACTTGCACAATTGGTGGCTGACTAAATACTTTTTTTCCCCACTGTATGCACGCACCACTTTTCCGTTATTTTGTATTTTTATTTTTTTGAAACAAGTCCTTTTTTTCATTTCACTTCACCAATTTGGTCTATTTTGTGTATGTCTATTACATGAAATCCAAATAAAAATCCATTTAAATTACAGGTTGTAATGCAACAAAATAGGAAAAATGCCAAGGGGGATGAATACTTTTGCAAGGCACTGTAAATATCTATGGCACTTGACTTCTCACAAAATAAATAATCTTGAGAGCTTTGATGATAAAATGTTGATGCAAATGTTGATGCAACGTTTTCCATGACTGGCATGTTCTGTAGCCTAATTACCTGCTGCAATAATCTGTTATTCTGTCAGCCTCTCTGTCATCATAGTGGGTGGGTAGCAGTGGATGTGCTGCATTAAGCAGAAGCACTGGACCAGAGGAGGAATATTACCTGACATGAACACTGATTGGGGCGGTTCGGGCGATGAGGGGGGTAGCAGGAACACTTCTGCCTTCAACATTAGATGTACTCCTTGGTAGAGAATGACTAGGGCTAGGAAAAAACATGAGTTCATAGCATTAGACACAAGAAGAAAGAGTGCTTTACACTTGTACACACACACACACACACACTGACACTGACAGTACCTGATGGAGCTGGTCACAGAGTTACGGCGCGTCCTCATTTCATAGTATATCTCCACTGGGGACAGTTTCCTACAGACCTGGTGGTCTGGGCTGCCCAGGGTCAGACGGGGCTGGGACATGGAGCGGTGGTCTGCTGCCACACTGGGAGAGGACTCCTCTAAGGGAGGGAGAAGATGGGGTTTGGTCAACTTGAGTCACTCTAACTCACAACTGACACGCAATTACAGTAAACCGCTCATTCTCTTTCATGAACATAATCAGGCAGCAGCTGTGTAATTCCAAATTTAAGGAGGAGAAATGTGATTCTTCGCCCTTCTCATTTTCACGATAGGTACTGAAATGTGATCTGTCATCTAGTAACTTATTATAACCTGTGAATGTGCACAGTACCAATCTCTCGCCTCACAGAATAACGTTTGGATAATATTTTGCAAGACTTTGGTGTTAGGGTGGAACAGACAAAGATAACTGCTCAATGATTTTACACACTGGCTTTAACAGATTCAGTTGTTATGATTGTATTTGAAGCTCTGGCTGACTCACCATTGTCATGGGATGTTGAATCTGACATGGAGCTAGTGCTCTCTGACATCACTGTGTCCTCTGCAAGAAAAACAAACACAACCTCTTTATATTACAGGGAGTGGAGACCAAATACACAGACCATCACATCATTGGAGAGGACAGGAGTGGAAACTGGCTCATATCATAACTTCTGTAAGGTTAACCTTTTACTGCAGCGGGCCAAATCAGGGTCACACAGAGAGTTTCTTGGTAGTCTTAAACAAATATACCTCACACACATGGTTATAGGCTTTTTAAAAAGATGACACCTGTACCATGTTGGATATAGAGTTGAAATGTATTTGATTTTGAGTTTGCATCGCAATATTACACTTTATGTGCATCACAGAAGATTGAAATATAACAAAACCGTTTGACATAGAAACACCGGATTTTCTGCAGTTTTTTAAAATAATGTTTATTAATTAACAAATTATGAAAAATATTAATAACATTCCACCCATGAGGCCACTAGGTCATTTGACTGCAGGAAAGGGCTACCCAGTACCCTGTTGTTCGGCCTAGATCTGTATGTATAGCTGTTAACACGTCTTTGAACTCTGCTGTACACAGCACTGCCTTACCTGTGTGGCATCCCCGGTGAACGGTCCTCTTGCTGTTGGGGACATTCCTGTCTGACTCTGAGTGCCTGTACAGAGCACCACTGAAGAGTGTTTTCATCTGCCTCCGCTGACCTGTCTCATCCTGCACAAAGCAATAACTTAGTCAGTGATGTGTTGATAACCAGTATTAACAGACATACAGGTCCTCTGTGACCAGTGTCATAGTATCTGAGAAAATCCTCTGACCTCTCCCTTGGTGTTGTTATGTGGCAGGCCAGCCCTGCACTGTACAACGGGAGCTCTCTCTCCTGTCTCCAGGGGAAAAGCATGTGGGACCTTCCCGGTCAGCTCCTGCAGACAAAATACATGCAACAGAATTAGCCTAGTTTGATTAAAAAGCTAACACTGTTTTCATATAGCCAGTGCCAAGTCAAATTTCATACTGTCTGTTATATAATATATATTTATATACAGCAATAGGAACAAATGTAATAAACACTGATACATATACTGTTACAGTCTCCAGCCTTTGTATCTTAAAATAGTTTATTGTTGCGCTGAAATAAATGTGCTAGAACTAATGTGATAAGAGTCCAATGAAGATTAAACTATGTTGGTCAAGAATAGTATCATTTGAATGGTAGTACATCTGACCACCAAATCAAATGTACTGTATATAGCGAGAATATAGAGAGCATTTCCATGCATTAATAATATTTTTCTAGAGAGAAGCTGAGACACATCTGTGTTCAATTTCAAACCAAAAGCAAGGTGTGTGAAACAGCTGTGAGTGAAAAGCTGTAGCTGCTGCCTGGTATGTCTGGCTCTGCATCTGGAGAAATCAGGCTAATATTGATACGCTGTCGCTACATATTCTTGACTCACGCAGCTCTGGAAGGGGAAAGCTTTAAACTTAGCTATGTAACAAAAGTTGCCAAATGTTGTTCTTTCATCTGTGCAGCCAAACTCAGTGAGCCTGATTTATAATTTCAGGTGGTTGAGGTTTACAGGGGTTTAGAGCTGCTCTGTACTGAGTCAGATGCAGAAAACAAACCCAAAGTTGTTTTATGCTTTCCAATAATCTGATAAAGCACACGTCTCTATATCATGGCTTGGGTGTATGGAGCCATTCCCTCTAACTTGCCCTGAGCCCTACAATGGTTAAAAGGTAGGAAAGAGGAACTGACCGCCTCCAGCAGACACACTTGTCTCAGCTCTCCCACTCGGCTGCTGAGGAGGTCCTCCAGTAGTTGCTTTCTCTCCTGCAGTGCGGAGATGCGCTCAGCTTGCAGCTTGCTGTCCTGATCTGCACACCAACACACACATCAACACATTCAGCTGAGACAACAACCATTTATACAATTATTTTGTAGCTACAATGGTGTTACTAGTTAATTACAGTGTTACTGAGTACTTAAAATATTGCGTAGTTGCATCAGATTATCAATTAAGTTCTGGGGGCAGATGTGTTAGAAAAGATACTAGAACGAGGAGTGGAAGCAGGGCGGGAGCTCCACCCCACTCTCTCTGCAAGTTTCCGGCAAGTCTATGGGCCAAATGTCCCCTCCCCGAAAGATGCGAACACCTGGGAAATTGTGATTTGTCCAAATGATCAGTGATGAAAAAATCTGTGCACCGGAACAAAGTTTGTTGTTAGTTATCACATCCCACAGGCTGTTGACAGACGCTACGATACCATCTTATGTTATATGCGCCTGTCCACGAGAGATTAGTAAGTGCCCCAAAATCTCTTTGTGGAGGTGTAAAACTCACCTGGAGCCCCCACACCCATGGATGTGATGAGGCGCCCTTTGACCTCCATGTGGTCTGATTCGTGAGGTCTTGCTTCTCAAACCTCAGCCAATCAAAACCTCACCTGTTGGGAGAGAGCACTGTGGTTACCTAATAGAAATGGGACAAATAATATAGGCCTAGAGCACAGGTTGGCTTAAATACATTAATCTTACCTAGCAACTTCAAGCATGTGTTTGTTCTCCAGTAGTTTGGTTAGCAATCTATTTTTGTTAAACCAGTAAGAATGTGTCTTCCACTAGTCAAGAACCGCCAGTGGGGGGAGCCACTGTGACTCTTTTCAGGGGTCTAATGCTAAATCCTGTAAGAGAGAGAGGCAGAGCGGTTCAATTTTCAGTAATGTGACTAAACACGAATAGGCCTACAGTTAATACAGAATGAGAACCGTGTGTATTGTTTTAATAATAGACTATCAGGCCTAGCCTGTCTATGTCCATCGTATGTGCATTATACAAAAAGTATGCTTGATGGCATTGGATGGCTTCACGTTAACAGGTTAATTCAAATGTTTGCTTAATAGAGTGATTCAATAATTCAATAACTTAAGTATTTAACATGATAGTGTAGTCTGTGCCAACATAATAAATAATAATAAAGCAATTTTACACAAGGGCATGGTAAACAACTTTTTTAGCACGGCTGTGCTGCGGTCATAGGTACGAAGCGGAGAAGGTCTGCCTGCCTGCCTGTCTGTGTAAAATGTATCTCTTAGCTCTTACAATCATGTCTTTGAAGAGGAGTGAGAGCAAAACAGAATTAATAATGTATGGAGAAGAACAGATGGAGAGAAACCGAAACTGCGTGTATTTCATGTCTCAATTTCCAAAGGTAACCAACACAAAAGAAAATAATGAACCAAAAGTAACAGCAACGACTTTGCACTGAAAGTAAGACACAACATGCTTTGTTTATGCTCAGTTGCACACATTCACTGAAGACAACTTACACCCAACAGTTTATTTAAAGTGACAGCATTCTCCAAACGTTCTCTAAAACAGTGGCTCCCAAACTTGTTTGTGTTGTGAGCCGAGCCTTCGGGATTTTCTTGTGACTCGCCCAATAAAAAAACAAAAACATTTCCAGTCAGAAACCCAGGAACACAAGTGGGTCCTGATTCATCATTTTGGAAACATTGCTCTAGAGGAGTTAGACAGATATTTAGCTGACATCTCAACAGAACCTTTAAAGGCAGTGTAGCACCTATTTCTCAATGCCAGAAACACATATAATTATAACTTAGAAGACCCCAATAAAACATTCCCAAATGACAAACTCTTAAATCAATTGTTATAATATTGTAATGTTGTTCTAAAAGGTGGGTTTGAGGTTTTCTCCTAATCAAACTTCGGAAACAATTCCACAACGCCATGCGTCATTCGGTGAATGAAAAACTTCTAAAAAGTGGGATACATTTGTGAATATTAGGCGGGCGAATTGGGTGTCTACTCGTCAATCTGCGGCGCACATTTCATCCCTGAGAACTTCCACGGAAATCAACAATGGATTGAAGGCTTCAGCAAAAAGTTGCTTCTCAATGTGGATGCTGTCCCTACCATTGACGTTGCTTCTAAATCATCTCAAACAGCCAGGAGAACGAGCAGAGAAGTGAACCGGGTAAGTGAAAGAGCTAGCTAGCCTGCTACCTCTATGCTAACGTTAGCTAGCTATAGAGCTACTGCATTTAGCTCACGTCTTCCATCTAAATAACACTGATAAAACTAACCACATGTAAACATGTCTGCCAGCTGTTGGTAGCTAACTGCTGATGCTGTCATAGATAGTACAAGCCTATGGGAAAGGTGTTTTTCGGGGCTGCGTGTTGCGGTAATTCGTCATTCTGTGGCTCTGGGGGAGTTTTCTATACGGCCTGCCGAGTGCGGGCTAAACTGAAATGCTACGCTTTGGCCATGGCTCAGATCGCGGATCAGGTGCCATTTCAGAGAAGCCCCGGAGCCATGTTTTCTTTGGAGGGATGGATTTTGGTCCATGGGAAACGTTTATTTTTGGATCTTAGGATCAATGTGGTCACAGTTGTTTCTTGTTGAAGAGGCAGCAGACAACTTTAGCTTGCTATCCTCTTCCTCCATTTCTGAATGACTTTTTGGCTATTTCTTTCTAGCTGGCAAAATAAGTGAGCTAGATTTTGTTTGTGTACTGCCATATGTCGATAACATAGCTACGTTTATCACTAAATATCCTAAACCTAGCCAGTTAAACAGTGATAGCTGCAAGCTAAAACCTTGGAGAGAGAGAGGAGATAATTTAATTTCTGTTTCATCTGCTGCTGGCTTGTTAATGTTCACTCTAATATGTTTTTACACATTTAATTAATGAAATTATATTTGTGCCACTTGGTGCGCATCACTTGGCGTGCACCAGTTTACTATGTACAGGCAACATGTTCCTCCACCGTGTGAGTCATAGAAATTACAATCTTGCGATCGGGGCTTTCCCGCAGTCTACATGGTTTTTGTATGCGGGGAGCATAAATTCTACAATTGTAAACTAACAAAGAATTGTTCAAGTTAGAACCCATGTATACTGAACAAAAATATAAACACAACATGTAAAGTGTTGGTTCCATGTTTCAGATCCCAGAAATGTTCCAAACGCACAAAAAGCTAGTTTCTCTCAACTTTGTCCACAAATTAGTTTAGATCCCTGTTAGTGAGCATTTCTTCTTTGCCAAGATAATACATCCACCTGACAAGTATGGCATATCAAGAAGCTGATTAAACAGCATGATCATTACACAGGTGCACCTTGTACTGGGGACAATAAAAGGCCACTGTAAAATGTGCAGTTTTGTCACACAACACAATGCCACAGAGGGAGCATGCAATTGTGACTGCAGGAATGTCCACCACAGCTGTTGCCAAATAATTAAATGTTCATTTCGCTACCATAATCTGCCTCCAATGTCGTTTTAGAGAATTTGGCAGTACATCCAATCGGCCTCACAACCGCAGACCATGTGTAACCACGCCAGCCCAGGACCTCCACATCCGGCTTCTTCACCTGCGGGATCATCTGAAACCAGCCACCCGGACAGCTGATGAAACTGAGGCGTATTTCTGTCTGTAATAAACCCCTTTTGTGGGGAAAAACTAATTGGCTGGGCCTGGCTCCCCAGTGGAGCCCACCCATGGCTGCGCCCCTGCCCAATCATGTGAAATCCATAGATTAGGGTCTAATGAATTTATTTCAATTGACTTATTTCCTTATTTATTAATATTTTTAGTCATTTAGCCGATGCTCTTATCCAGAGCGACTTACAGTTAGTGAGTGCATACATTTTCATACTGGCCCCTCGTGGGAAATTAACCCACAACCCTGGCGTTGCAAGCGCAATGCTCTACCAACTGAGCTACAAGGGGCCACTTTAACTCAGTAAAATAGTTGAAATTGTTACATGTTGCATTTATATTTTTGTTCAGTATATATCAGTGGAGGCTCCTCAGAGGAGGAAAGGGAGGACCATCCTCCTCAGTGAATTTCATAAAAATTGTGAAACATTTAAAAAGGTATCCTTTTTAGATAAGACTATACTAAATATATTAATGTCACCAAATAATTGATTAAAACACACTGTTTTGCAATGAAGGTCTACAGTAGCCTCAGCAGAACTCTGTAGGGTAGCACCATGGTGTAGCCGGAGGACAGCTAGCTTCTGTCCTCCTCTGGGTACATTGACTTCAATACAAAACCTAGGAGGCTCACGGTTCTCACCACCTTCCATAGACTTACACAGTAATTAAGACAACTTCCAGAGGACATCCTCCAACCTATCAGAGCTCTGCAGAATGAACTGACATGTTGTCCACCCAATCAAAAGATCAGACAATGAATCTAGTACTGAAAGCATAAGCTACAGCTAGCTAGCACTGCAGTGCATAAAATGTGGTGAGTAGTTGACTCAAAGAGAGAGAAAGACAATAGTTGAACAGTTTTTAACAAATTAAGGAGAAGCAAGAGAGGGAGAGCTAGCTATTAAACGTTCACTTACTTAGTTAGCTAGTTTAGCCTACTCAAACACCCGGCTCAAACAGAGAGGGATGCCATGTTAGTTAGCTGGCTTTGGCTACCCAACACTGGAACTCTTCCAAGTCAAGGTAAGCTTTTGGTTTTATTAATTTATTGCCACTGGGGCCCGCCGGTGTAGCTGCTAAACTTATTTCTGACTGTCCACTGTACTGCATGATTGTAGCGGGTTCACTAACGCGTCAGCTCTAGTAGCTATGTTGACTATGACATGATGTGTAGCGGTTAGCGGTCATGATATGAAGGTTTGGCTTGGAAAGTATTCTTCACCTGGTCACAGACAGCTGATGTGTTGTGCACTGAAGTCCACAAGCGAAGGGAAAAGGTGAGAGGAGGAGAGTGCGTAGATAAATGCGAGAAGGAATTATATATACAACGAGCTACTTGTATGTGTCTACTATGAAAGTGAACTGTGTTTGCGTGTGATCAAGGGTGTGTCCATTGCGCCGATTCTGTTGAAAAACTTTTCTTAAACGGAAGCAAACGGAACGAAACTGGGATAAAAATACTTGAATTTGTCCAATAGAAACTCTCGTTTGCAACTGTTGGACTAATTATTACACCCTAGATCAGCTAGAAGCAGGCAAGGCGATATTGAATGTGGCACTGTCTGTCACCTTGATTACTCAAAATTCTCTCGACCTGTGCACATATGCTGTAAACTTTCATTCATAAGCTAGGTTGTAGCAACCTCATAATGGGTACAGGGAAATTTTGAGTATCATGTAGTAGCCTAAACCTATCGATGTTACATTGAGCTGGGTGAATGGAATATGAATGACAGTCATCCAATATGCTGTAATAGAAATAAGGCCATGTTCATTTAAAAAAAAAATATCCTCCCTCATCTTAAATGGCACCGACCACCACTGATGTACATTAGTTAATATACAGCACCAACTAAATAAATATCAGATAAGGTCCATTATCTACTGCCTGGACTTTAAAGCCTGCCAGCATTGGCCAAAGCAGGAGGTTGCTCATCTCAGTCTAAAGAGGTCAGGGGTAGCCTATCATTCTACTTTGTGGTATTATTCAGAATTCCATGCAAGCTTGTTCCAAATCAGGCTTTATTCCCTTACGCTGCATAGAGAACAAACAATAGTGATACTATTCAGTGCCAGAGCCTCTCTCACTCAGACTCCAGAATCTTAGTCATAAATAACAGGCAGCTCCTTGCAGTCTACTAAATATTCAAAT